AGAGAGGGCGCAAACATGTATGGGGAACAGTCCGATAGTACTGGAGTCATGTCTGAGATGCCAGTCCTCTTGTCGTACTCGAATTGACCCCCAGGTTTAACTGAGTTGTGATCACATAAATCACTTCGGCTGTACCAGGAAATTCTTCTCATGCTTGTCAAATAATAAGAACGGCCATTTTTTTCAACCCTAAACTACACAGATCACCTTACCCGATTTTATCTCATAACTCACAATGCTAGTTGACCTGACTTCCCGCTACATGGCTTTGTGGATCTTGGTCCTGTATCACTCCACAGCTGTTCATGGTGATTGCCTTTTATTTATCTCATCATGGATTTGGAAAAAAGAATCCAGGAACTGATTTGCTTGATTTTTATCTGAAATATGACTTTCCCCATTGCAGCATCAATGGAAAATGTGTTGATGACTTCCGGATGCACTGACAGTAGGCATGTTGGACCTGAAGCTAGAATAACTCCAACACTGAAGATCTCAAAGAGAAAAAGAAAAATTCTCCCTGAGATACCCAAATTAGAAAAAGGCCTCTCAGCTGATATCAATACAGCTCCGATACCCAAAATACACCAGAGGAAGAAACCCACTCTCCTGGAATACCTGGAAAATATACCCCAATTTGAAAGGGAAGATTTCACATTACCCTTGCACAAAACTGGTCAGCTAAACATCTAAACCTTTCTGTTCAGATTTTATAACTGATTTTTTTCTTTGTCTTATATAAAAATGGTGATGGAATATCAATGAAAAGTCAAAAAGAATACAATGAAGAATGATTTTGTTTTGATAAGAAAAAAATTGGATAGTATTATGGATGATTTGGATGCAGATGGAACGGCAAAAACAAACTGTGAAAATGATGTCAAGTTGGAAAAGTATGTTGAAGAATTAAAATCCATTCATGGATTCATGTTATTCCAAGCACAATGTGAAATCTTGAGATTGAAAAGGCAAGCATTATGTGTGAAGAGATTTGAATCAGCTTGTTCTTCACATGAGAACATGCATTTGGAAGGGGTTCCAGAAATGCCCAAAGGTCTGCCAATCTTTTCAGTCAGATATCCAAAAAGTTCAAATGAAGTGGATCTCAATGAAGATATGATGGGTATATTGATAAATAAAAAATTCATCTCCATGATTAGAAGGTTGAATGTTATATTACATGATCTAAATCTATTCCATGACAAAAATACAGTTTTTCTATCTGATGGAGTTGATGAAACAGCAACAAAAATGCAAAACCTTGTATTTCAAATGGTTTCTTCCATTTACAAGCAGAATTTAATAACTAAAACACAGCTCAGAGATTTTTTTGAGAAACATGGAACACTAGAACTTGCTTCAATCAACATGATTACCTATTTCAAAATTCAACAAAACCAGAATACTAATTTTTCCAGCAGTAGAGTGATCCTTAAAAATTGGAACTCTTCACATTTTAGAACTTTTCTTGAAGGTGAGATAAATACATTACTTTTCAAATTTTCTATTAATGTACTACTGTCACTGATTATTTAAACCTTGCATTTGAAGTAATTGAGGAGAAGAAGAGAAGGTATTTCTCATACCTCTCTCTGAAGGCATTTTTTGATTATTCTGGTGATCTTTCAGTTTATGGTGCATTGGGGTACTCCATAGATGAATTTATGAATGAAAAATTCTTCAACACATTGGAAAATTATTTTGAAGCCAAGACAAAATCAGTTATTGACTTGGAAAACTTCAGAGCTCAAAATGAGGATTACACATGGGTCAAAGAGCAACTCAATAATTTGAGAAGCTTATTCTTGGATGATTACTATCATTTTCATAACCCAGAAACAAGGAAATTTTCATTTTCCATACTTGAGCTTGTTCAAGAAAACTATGGAGATGAAATATTGTTCACTGGTGAAGAAGACACACTCTTCAAGCTGAAATTGAGCTTCATGTCTTCCAATTTTAATTTCTATGAAGAAATTAGTAATCTGAATCATTACATAAACAAGAACCTGTTTTGTAAACTTGATTCCAAAGAAAATGACAGCCATGAGCCAAAAGATGTGTTAAACCAAAATGAAGAACTTGATATTCTTCACCAATACCTTTCTATCCTTTTATCAAATAAACCTCAGATTATTATGCATGAATCACTTAAACATTACTCTCTGCTTCCTTGGATGAATAAATTGGAAACTGAAATTGAAAATTCTATCATTCACAAGAACATACCAGTAAATGAACACAATGAGCTTTTGAAATTGGAACAGGTTGACATGTTGAACTTGGGTTTTTTAAAATGTACATTTCAAAACATGAAGAAATTTATTTTGAATCAAGCTTGGTGGCCTTCCTACAAACAATAGTGAAGTAGAAACATCTGAGTTTACAGAAATAGTGGCAATAACTTTAAGTTATGCATGCATGTTTGGTTTGATAAGTCCTATCAAAAACTTTGTTTCTTCAAATAGTATGACTATTGGAATCTATTTCTTTTCTTTATTATTATTAGAGAAAAGCGGTAATAAAATACAAACAAACCTTCATTCCCCTTACCAAGAACTTTGAGTCTTCAAATAGGATGACTATTGGAATCCATTTCTTTTCTTCAGGTTTATAAGACAGAGTAGCACTGGTTTCTTCATGAATTAGTTTCTTTTTCTGCTTAGAAAGGTGATTTTTTTACCTAGATCCATAGCAGTAGATCCCACTTCAGATTAAATGTTGTGTATTTTTTGATCCTTGATAAAAAAAATCTCATAAGCTGAATGGCCTGAAAAGGCAATCTTGATAAAACAATCTCATGAGTCTAAATGCCCTGAAAATGCATTTTTAAGCATGAACTTTAAGGATTTCATTTCACTCCTTCACTGTTTATTGAATGGGGTACTAGAGAGCTGAGGTCCAACAGATACCCTGCAACCATCTCTAGCTGAGGAGCTGGAGCGAATTCTAGGAATCTAGTACCAGGGTGTGTATTGCTAGCTTTGGTAGCAGATAACAAAGGATCACTCTAATCAGTAACTAAGAGCTATGGCTAGAGAGTCCAGAGAAAAAAAAGAGAGAGAGAAGAGAAAAAGCACCCACCTAGCAGCAGTAGCAGATAAGAGCTTCTGTGGATAAGTATATAGTAAGAACTAGATTAAAAGAAATATGTTCATTTATTAGTATCTTACTTTTCTGTTTAATAACTAAATATAATGAAATGAAATCACTGTACTCATTTATGGGACTATGAGTTATTTCTTGATAATTTTTATTTATTTTATTTTGGTCAATGATACTACGTTTTAAGTAAGTAATATCATAAATTTTATATTTATTGGTTATTTGTATCACTCTCTTTCTTTTTTATGAAGAAAGGCTAAAGCGCTCACCAATACTAGGCAATGAGGAGATTCTTTAGATAAGTTTGGGATTTGAATTTGGCTTGCTCAGGCTAAAGATGATTTGTTTGAAGTGAGGAGAATGATCATTACTGATCACTCCTTCTACTTGACTGTCCACATTGAGACTCGCCTAGAGCTTGATGATTGACAATCATCATCATTTAGATTTGTGATGTCACTCATGTCATTCCCTTTTTCACAAGCTTTTTGCTTGGCCAGAGTAATTGAATTATTGTGCTCTGTACATGATCAAATAATGATCAGCATGCAAGTAGGTTTTCTATGTAGCTTACATTTTAAGTGTATAGCTTACCTGATGCTCTCCTCTTTCAAGGGCTAGATGAAGGAATGGAATTCCAACACTTATGTAATCTGACTGTTGTGCCTTGTGAGCAAAGCACAGTGTGGAGAGTCTCACATGAACCACCATACATAATCCAGTGCCAATGCTAAGAGCATCTCCAACGGTCCTGCTGATGCGGGACCTGGGACTGACTTCAGCGGGCCGCGAGGCTCTTTTGGGCGCTAGCGGAGCTGCCAAGCAAGCTGCTGAGCATCACGGGGGTGGACCACAGCTGCCCTCAGCTGCTGAGTTTGGCAGCTTTGGCCATGTTTCACCCACCCCCGCTCAACTTCACAGTCCGCATTTAGGACAACTGTGACAGACCAGTGACACCTCGGGACATATGACTCCAGGCCGCCAAAGGCAAGGCAATCCACCCCCAGACCATTAGAGATGCTCTAATTGTTTCAATTTTTTAGGTTTTCCAACCCAATTTTGTATCACATCAACAAGTGGGATTCCTCATTGGAAATTTGGTTCAAGATGTACCAGATAGAGAAGGAGGAGCCATTCTAATTGTCAAGCCAGTGCCATGGGAAACCTTTCATGTTGGTATCCAATGAATTGTTTTGGTGCATTCTTTTAGTACAGGCTATGGTTGGTGGTCATGGTACATCACTCTGGAGTACCAGGTTTAGACTGTCCTTCCTTTTTTTTTTTTTTTTGAAAATGCCTTTCTTGTCTAACTGCCTCTGTCAAAACAGTCAGAACTTGGGGGTTGGTAAAAAAATTTCATTGTATGGTCTTCAAAGCATGGATACCATAAAACACAAATTTTACCTCATAGCCAAGGCACATGTTTGCCTGGATTTGCATAATACAGCTGTTCCCAAAAACCTTGCGGTTTTGGGAAGGCTGTATTTCCAAAGAATTTGTTTTAGCGCCACTCTCTCCTGTACATGGCCCTGTATGGCCATAGTACTTCAGGCCACAGGACCCAACTCCCACATTTTCCGAGTTGAGTGTGTGGGAGTTGGATCATTGTAATCCTCTCCATTTTTTGGTCAGGGGCCGCTCACCACATGGGTGCTCTGCCAACCCCTGCCTGGCAGCTGGCAGGCATCGGAACCCACACCGAGGCCTCGGCAGCCAAAACAGAACCTGTACTGCAATCTATACAGGCCGTGAGGCGTAAAAAATTGGTGGCGCTAAAATTTTTCTTCTGAAATACAGGCCTCCCGAAACCGCAAGGTTTTTGGGAACAGCTGTAAGTTTACTGGAAGTTTGCTGGGATGATAGTGCATAAAAATCTAAGATCAAACCAAAAGAATTGACCCCAACGTGACTTGAACACGCAACCTTTCGATGAACCGAATCTGGAGTCGAACGCGCTACCATTGCGCCATGGAGTCCGATGACGTGAGAACGGCGTATAGACTACTCGATCAAAGATCCACACTTCGACGAAAGTTGGCAGAGGTATCCATATTCCAAACAAACAACACAGCTAACGGTTCCCATGGATGATTAGATGACAACAGGCGGAACTAAAGATAAAGATGCTTTCCGTAGGACAGGGTATTACGGTTGGCCTAAAGAAGGCAAATGTAGATTCACTTTTTTATAGAGGCTTGGGTGGTGCCACAATTTCAATTCAAGAGGGGCGGAGAGAAAAGCGGGTATATAAACGTCATCTCCACTTCCGCCTTCGGATCATAATACCGATTCAATTATGGTGGGGTGGCAAGATTCATTGTTGTCGAGCATGATTGAGAAATCAACAGAAGGGTTGGTTCAGTAAAGACAAAAAGGAAAACCGATTGGGATCAAGAGTGTAAGACTGACATTTGAACTTCTTCGGAAAATCTAGCTTGAACCAGATCGACAGTTTCGGGGCCCCAAACCACCGACGGATCTTGGCGACCAACCAAGACTCTCTGCTGATGGATATCAGCCTCTGAGCGATCCATAACGACGCAGTTGGTCCAATGTAGCTCTTCGTCCATGGACCATCGGATCAGACAAGGATGGGAGCTGACTTTGAAAGCTGGGTGGACGACCGATCGACCTCTGAAGAGATCCTCGAAGATGTATCCGATATCTTCGTCACTGAACGGGATCGTCGTCGCTCCATTCAGTCGAAATTCCCGGGCCAACAGATCGTTAAATATTCGATGGTAAACCTTGGTTCGGTTCCTGATATTCCAAATTGAAATCCCGGTTAACACATAAAAGTTGAAATATGTGAAGTCGCTCGATCAGTAACAACTCGTACAATCCAGAAAGCACACAACTCAACTTGATTGGAAGGGGTTGTGTCGGGAAATTTCCCAATTGGGTGATCGTATGGGCAGCCATTGCTTGTCCAAACTATTCGCCAAAACGTCGAAACAAGCGATCAATCTTTCAGTGAGCTGTGAAACCGGTGGATGGAAGAGTGTTGTGTAATGTCACATACCATTGAAGGCAAAGGCCCTAAGACCGGTAGGATGCGCACACGAAAGTCTGCCAGGGCTGAAAGTTCACCCACATTTCCCTTCTGGAATTCGTCCTCAGGTAAAGGGAGTAATCTAACATTTTCGTTAGGCTATTTTCCACAACAGCGCAGGATAATTGACGTGTATTCAGTTCAAGTAATCGGGTCTAAATGTTGAGGTTTGTAGGGAGTTACCTTCTCGGTGGAATAGACTACTGGGACACCGTGGACAATCCCATTCAGTCTCCTGGAGCAATTGTTCGATTGATCATCAGTAAGCCTACTCATCGATAGGTTTGCGAAAAAGCAAGACAACGCAATTGTGAAGGTTCACGAACAGCCTTCTCCTCACAGAACGTGCCAACGGATCTTCAAATGTCATAGAGATATCTGCTATCTGAATCCGTGACGGGTCTGCTTTGGAAGCTGCACCTAAGGCTGAAAAAACCTGGGGCGGAAATAGTGGCCAGATTAGCAAGGCTTGGGAACGAGATATAAGCCAGCTAACGCCGAAACGTACATACTTTTAAATTGTTCTTTTTACAATATGTCAAGAGATCTACTTTCGTGGTGATGTTATCTATACAGTCTAGCACCCAGTCTGGTTTTCCTTCCAATAGCCTCGGCGCATCCGATAATGTGAATTGTTCAACCAGAGCTTCTATTTTCAGCCAAGGTGCGATTTTCTGATAAAAGTTTTTACATGATACTACTTTTGCGATTCCCACGTCTTCCCGCGTAGCTGTTGCATGCCTCTGATCAAAATCGCCATCCAATTCAGATTAGGGAGGGAGGAATTCAATTATTAATCTCTTAGAATTAGGAAGGTGTAAACGTTGGGTTTTTTTTCTTATGATGACTGATTGGTTTTGATTTTGAGACTGGCGTACATTTAGCGACGATAAAGTAACTTGATCAAAGTCGATTAACCTAATTCTGCCGACTCCACTACGGACAAGGGAAGTAGCAGCGGAGCTACCGACGCCACCAAGACCGATGACGATCACGAACGCATTTCGGACGTCTTGATTCCCTTGCGGTCCGAGGAAGGCCAAGTTACGCGCCAGTTGCTCAGCTATCAAGCTTTCGTCGTGTACCCGATCGCCCGTGGAACGTTTTTTTGGAGTTTTTGACCGATCTGGAGTGGACTTGGTAGGTCCTTGGAAAGAGTACATCACCAAGGCCGTCAAAGCCCCAGAGACGACGCCCACGACGATTGCCTGAGTGATCGGAAAAGGGGACCTGCTAGAGGCCGAAAGAGAACTGCTCCAGAACTGTGCCATCGGGAAAGTCGTCTACATAGTCGGATCCACGCGTCAATCGATTCCACAGCATCGGATGAAAGCAAATCTGGTTAGCGTCGGTGGCAGCTGAACTGAGAAGAGAAGAGAAGAGAAGAGAAGGCCACTCGACATACCGATAAAACTTGACCACAGTGCGAAACGGTGACAGACAGACCCGTTAGAAAAGTTGAAAAAACCCGGTGAAAATGATGGATGTAGTTTGGCCCAGTTGAAGGCTAGGGGAGTTGTGATAATCGGAGGGGCCGGGGATAGATCCCCGAAAAACGTCTTTACGTACAGCCGATTCTTCGTTAGTATAGAGGTCAGTATACCCGCTTGTCACGCGGGTGACCCGGGTTCAATTCCCGGACGGAGAGTTAACTTTTGGCGCTCGGGAGCGACAGCTACGAAGCACGTCTTGCGGACGGAGCGTGAAGACCCTGCCTGCCACGTGTGAAGCCGTGTTCTTTTGCGTCTGCAAAAGTTTGAAAGTTTTAGGGAGCAACACGGTTTTGCGGTTCCTTTACCTGATGGCAATTCGAGTTGAACCAAAGTGCATGGTCAACGCATTGTCTGCACTGTACCAGGCTTCTCTGTTTTGTTTTTATTTTTTCATCTTTTTGGTCATCCCTTTTCACTAGCTTGTGATGATTTGGATTTGATGACGCCTGCCGCCTGCTGAAGCGGGCTAAAAGATCGGAAGAGGGTCGCTGCTTTCGGGAGCCAAGCGGCTGGAAGGCGCCCACATGTCTCCATGAAGGCATAATTCTCTTGCCTGCGGTAGACATGGGGGAAAGGTGGTTGAAAAGGCTCTTACCAACTCGCGCTCACACAAGTGGAACGAGTTTTCAAAATGCGGAGGGTTTTGTCAGACCTAGCAGTACTGGACCTAGTATGCAACAAAGCATAGTATTTCCTTCACATCTCACTGCAAATGGGCAGGTGGGCATTACTGGCGAACGGGATTGTAAGTCCGGAGCAGCCGTGATTGATTGAGTACTCTTAGTGAATAGAGTTCCAGTGCGGTAAATAAATCAAAAATAGCACAAAGGCCAATTATATTTCACGTTATAACTTATATGCTACAATTGAGTAAATATCATGATAATCTACACTAAGGGTGAGGCCAGGCCACCAGGGGACTCACTGAGGGGGATGGTTGGGTGGGTTCTGGAAGTGAATCCGGGCTCTGCAGTTTGGGCAGGTGGGAGGTGCGGGGGCCAATGCCCGTAACCAGTCCTAAAGGTTTAAAAGAAAGTTAGAAAGGGAGTTCAAGAAGAGAATTGAAGGGAAGAGGCTCACGTGAATACAGCTCCGGTGAAAATGATGGGTTGGGTGACATGGTAGGACCACAATCGCGTCGCTTTCTTCGTAACCCTCGAAGCAGATTGTGCACTGCGTGGAGTCGTGTTGGGGGACATCCGATCCCAAAGACTGCAGGCTTGTGTTGAGGAGGCTGTCGAGTAGGGGAACAACGTTCTGTCTTGCCGCGGCCCGGTCACCAGCGTTAGGGATGCGAGTCAAGTGGTGTATCACAAACCCGATTTGCTGGATTGCCACAGAAGAAACTTGGTGGATCGCATCATGCATTTCTTGGGGCAAGGCGCCCATGATGCTTTGGAGGGCATCAGCGCTGTTTGTGAAAGCTGGGATCAGTCTGTCACGGTTAGCGATGACCCGAGCGGGGTTGATAATAATCTCCGGCCAAACCTCGCGAGTCGCAGCGACAAAATTTAGGATGATAGTTCGCTGCGCGGGAGGGAGAGTGTGCATCGATGGCCATACTTGTGGCAAGGCGGGGTCAGCTGTCACGCGAGGTGGGCGTGCCACGCCTTCCGGCACTGCCTGAGGTTGACGGACATGTTGTGGGGCATCATCGGCAACAGGAGTATTGGCCTCTGTGTCGCGCAATTGAGCGACGCCCGCTTCATTCATGTCAGCATTCGATGCTTCAGGCAATTCGTTCCGATTTCCGTCCTCGGCATGCTCAGCATGAGGAGGCTGGGGGGTTTCCAGTGCGGCGGGTTCTTCATCCGGCTCAATGTTGAGGTGGGATCCCGGAAGGGTGGGAACCCGCGTCTCAGGGGATTCTTCAACAGGCTGGACGCCAGGTCCAGGTTGTTCATCAGCAGACAATGATTCGCGAGGGTCCATGGTGGTACGATTCAAATACGTTGTTTTTGTAAGGGGCTGTGGGCGGGTGCTTGAGGCTGTTGAAGAATGGTGGTGGTAGAGCTCTTTCCTGGTGTGTAGATGATGGTGTGAAGTCGACTGACAACCCAGCCTGTTTATATAGCCACCACGACTCGGTGGAGCTGAGCTCTTCTTGAGCTGTCAAATGCATTTGTTGCGAAACATTTTCACTTGAATCACTGCTTCTCTTTGAAAGTATACGCGTCACGAGAGGAATCTCAGCAAAACGAGCTGCGACAGGGATCATGTGGCTATTGGGTGATGGCTATTGAATGCATTCTTGAGGAACATCATCCCAAGAATGCACTCCCATTGCAGCTTGTGATTCTCGCCAGCTTTTGAGGTCGGAAAAGATACGAGAGAACTTGTTGAGGATTGTATTGCAGTAGAGAGAGCTCGTATTTATACGCGAGGGATGGAATAGAGACATCGGTTTGAGGAGAGAGAGTTACAAGATAGATGTGAGGAGTCCCATTAGATGGGACGACTAGTATTACAATCGGATAGAGAAGTAAGACCGGACTTAGTTATATTCGGTCCGTCTTTAGTAAGTCTAATATACAAGATAGAGAGATAGGAAATACAAGAAGCGAGAGTATCAGTAAGATAGCCGAGAGCGGCTGACGGGATATAGGAATAAGGAAACAGGTAAACAAGGGAAAGACCGAGAGCGGTCGATAAAGTGTTCAGCAGCTGGATAAGGCTCCGCTGGAGCCGTTCCCTTATCCGGAAGCCGGGGCTTCACATCATCCCCTCTGGAGTTGCAAGCCTCCGTGCTTGTTTAGTTGATTGCGACTCGTCCGCGTGATCGGCGGTCGTGTTCGTTATTGCCCATAAAGGTGCCGGTACCTTTCTTGACATTGTTGCTGAAGTGAAGTGTCTTTGGGTTGCCGTGATATTTCTTGAGTCGATCACCATTACAAGCGCCTCTAAGGATATATCCGTTCGGACACTGTAGTCTAAAACTCCCGTTTGTGTTAGCGGAGTAAATTATGAACGGCCCATCCCACTTTGGATGTAACTTACTTGGCCGATTCTCAAATTGTCTAAGCACTAATTGTCCGGGTTTTAAGTTGCGTTCGAAATACTTAGTTTCGCTTCGCGCTGATCTGATTGTTGCCTTCAAGTTTAACTTGTCGATTTGTCCCTGTCGTTCTTCTTCAAACGCGGCTGATCTTTTAGCTTGAGACTCGGTACGGTCTTTTTGATAGGTTACTGCTACAGTAGGTTCTACGCCGTAGCACATGTAAAAGGGGGACCTTTCTAGTCCTGCCGTTTTCGACGTTCGGTAACCAAACAGGGCTAAACCAAGGTGTAGGTCCCATTCAGTTTGTTTGTCAGGAACACACATCTTTCTTACACTACCTATTAACGTACCATGAAATCTTTCCACAAGTCCATTCGACTGTGGGTGATAGGGTGAAATCCGGTTGTGTTTGATGTTGTGTTCCGCCAGGAAATTTTGATAGACATTTCCATTGAATTCACTTCCGTTATCTGTAGTAATAGAATGAGGAAAGCCGTGGTTCTCGATGATCATCTTGACTAATCTTACCGCCGCGAGTCCTGACCTTGCTGGTAATGGTGTAGCGTATGCCCATCCTGTACCATAGTCAATTGCGGTTACGAGATACTGGTTTCCTCGGGGGGTCCTTGGTAATGGTCCTACGAAGTCCATCCCCCAGGTCACGAACGGTGCCTTTCTTTCTATCACTTGTAATGGCATCTTGTTTCGATCCGAGTTCGGTTTGCAGAATTGACACGATGTGCAAGCTTCTATGGCCTCATCAACTATTTTTCCCATGAAAGGGAAGTGGCATTCAGTCCGGAGTTGAAACAAGGTATCTCGGGCGTTTCGATGACCGAGGCGGATATGAGTTTCCAGAGCCAATTTCTTAGCACGATCCAGATCGGTGATGATGATTAAGTCAGGGCGATTTTTGTCAGTTTTGTATAAGTCACCGTTTTTGAAGATATATCCTTTCGTTTCTAGAGCGCTTCCGTGTTCATTTCTGAGTTCTTGTAGCCTCTTGAAGGTTCCTTCGATGGCTGGTTCGATAGAGAATAAAGAGTCTGCGACTTCAGGAGGTTCCAGATCAGAGGGACCGTCTGGCTTTCTAGACAAAGCATCGGCCGCTATTTGTTCAGGGCCGGGTCTGTAGATTATGTGTACATTGAAGAATTCGATTTCGTCGACGAACCTAGCGAGTCTTCTATTGACGTGTCTTTGAGTTTTGAAATATTTTAAAGACTCATGATCGGTCCGTACCAATATCGGAGATCCTTCAATGTAACCGCGGAAGTGTTTTAGCGCGTGGACAATTGCTAAGAGCTCGCGTTCTTGAGCCGAGTAATTTTGTTCGGTCTTTGATAATTTTCTAGACTCGTATGCGATAGGTTTGAGGTTGGCGTTCTTGACGGTCTTCGAGAATTGTTCGAGATCAAAATTCTTGTCGATAGTTTCGCCATTGGGATCCTGTTGAAGGACTGCGCCGATGTTTTGACCGGAAGCGTCCGTGTCTAAGACGAATGGGCTAAAAGGCTTGGGGTGGTGAAGAAGGACGGTTCGCGTGAGATAGTATTTGAGTTTCTTGAAAGATTCGTCTTGTTCCTCCCCCCACTCAATACTTGCCCCCTTCTTCGGAGATCCCTGAGTCAATTTGTAGATCGGAGTTGCGATTTTTGAGAAGTCTTTTATAAACCTTTTATAATAAGTCGCTAGGTTTAAAAATCCCCTGACTTCCGTGATGTTAGTCGGTGTTGGCCAGGCTGTAATTTTATCGATCTTCCTGTCGTCGACATTGATTCCCTTGCCTCCAACTATATGGCCTAAGAATAATAACTGCTTCTGTCCCCAAGTGCACTTTTTCTCGGACACTACCAAATCAAATTTACTTAACAATTCAAAAACTTTCCGCACATGATACTCGTGTAACTCTTCATCTTTAGAATAAATAATGATATCGTCGAGATAAACTAGCGCAAACTTACCCAGACATTCGCGTAAGATGTTATTCATCATGTGTTGAAAAGTTGCCGGTGCGTTACACAATCCAAATGGCATCACGAGGAACTCGTACGCCCCATTTCTTGTCGCGAATGCGGTCTTTGGAATTGATCGTTCTGTCAGTTTTACTTGCCAGAAACCTGATTTCAGATCGATCGAACTGAATATCTTGGCTCCAGCAAGGAACTGGTACGCGTCGTCAATTCGCGGTAAAGGAAATGAGTCCTTGATTGTCAAAGCGTTCAATTTTCTATAATCAACACATACCCGTGAGCTCCCGTCCGGCTTTTTCACTAGGATGATGGGCGCTGACCAAGGCGATTTTGACGGTCGAATAATACCTTCTTTTAAGCCGTCTTCGACAAATTTTTCAATTAGCTGGTGTTCTGGTGGTGAGTATGGTCGGCCGTGGACTTTGGCCGGGGCGCTGTCCCCGGTATCGATGTCGTGTTCGAATACCTTGTCTTTCGGTAACCCTACAACTTCCCGAAATGCTTCTGGAGCTGTCCCGTATGCGATCTTCGCAAATTCGTTATCTAACGAACCTAACTTCGTATCACAGACGATGGAGTTCAGGAGATCGTCTTTCACACGATAACTCAGGTTTTAAGGCTTGACGTTGACCACTTTATTTTCTGCGTCCAAGAATGTGTAGCTGAGATCGTCATAATCCGGAACCGCTCGTGTTTGACATAGCCATGGGAGTCCTAAGACCAGGTCCATCTCGGGCAGGTTGATCAGGAAGGCTTCAATTTGTGTAACGTTATCGTCGATACATAGGTCAAACTTTGCTTTCATCTTTACTTGCTCGATATGGCCGTTGGCTAATCGTACGTTCCGAGGTTCTACATAGACAATCTCAATCTCCCGTCGACTGTATAACTCATCAGCTACAGCTACATCCAGGTAGACTGCTCCTGCACCTGAGTCGATGATGGTGTCGCAGATGACAGCGCCGATGCCGAACTCGTATCTCGGTAGAGTCTTCTCTTCTTCATCGAGGTGGTTGAGATCTAATGGTGGTGGCGTCTTCTCCAATTCGGCTGGGCTATCTCCCATCCATACGATGCTAGAAGTTCCTGAATCCGATTCTAGTTCGAACTCGTAGGATTCGGTGTCGCTGTCAATTTGTAGCCAATCAATGTACTCGCAATCGGAGTGCTTAGCCACTTTCTTGGGCCTATCTTCAGTATCGGTACATTTTCTTTTTAATGTAGTCGAGGGTGATTCGATTTGCATAGTGTTGAGTTGTAGTTCCCGGGTGATACCATGTCGGCTGGCACCGGGTATGAATTCTAAGGCTTTCGGGTTGAGAGTAGTGAGACCCGACTCGATTCGACTACACATCAGTAAGGCCTCTTTATTTCGGTCGATGTTCCAGATTTCTTGCCTGATCGATGCGACTACGTTATCGAACTTCTTACTTAAGTTGTTGCTAATCCTTTTGAGATCAGCGTTGATCTTATCGTAAGAATCTTCTTCTGGTTTGGTAGGTTGAATGAAAAAGAGGTTGCTAGTTGATTTTGAGTTTTCTGGAGGGTCCAAGTCGATTAAATTTAACGACGGCCTAGCACGGTGTTTCTCTGGAGCCTTTGAGTTGTTATATTTTATTTTTCGGGGAGATGGACAATCCTTCGATAAGTGACCAATTTTATTACAATTATAACAGCGCGCTTTACTTACATCAAGCGCATCTAAGTCCATAGGAGCGCTGGCGCTGACAGAGGTTCTTCGTGCCGGGGTAAAGTTGTTGTGAGAAGAACGTCGGAAGTGTCCGCCGGATGAGTTGTTCGAGCTGAAACCTCGATAATTATTGAAGTTGAAACTTCCCGATCCTCCTCGATAGTTGCTGCTCTTCGTTACCCTTTCGTATTCTCTAACGAAGTGGCAGAGGTCGTCGAGGGTGTCACATTTTTCGCTGAGGAGTTTGACACGGAGGTGACCAGGGAGGTTGACGGTGAAATGGAACTTTTTATCTTCGTCGGTCATTTTGTCTGCTGGTAACTTGATAGCCAAACGTTTGAACTTATTGATATATTCTTCAGCCGTAGTGTACTTGAGGAACTGCATCTCGACCCGAGCATCGTATTGCTTATGAGCGTAGTTGAATTGATCGGTGAGCTTCTGTTTGAAAGTTGCCCACGGTATGTCGGCGGTGCCCAACTCGCTGATGAGGTTGAACCAATACGCTTCGGCTGTGTCCTTGAGATTTTGAATTATCATACTGGTCCATCTGTCTTGAGGGTAGTTTCGTCCGGCAAGGATACACTCTATTTTTTTAATCCAGATATCGACATCTCCTTTCCCATCGAAGTCCGGGAGACGAACAGAGATGGTTTCGACCCGAGGGGCGGCTTCGGCGCGTTGAGCCTGTTGGTTTAACGCGTTAGCCATCAATTGTTGTACTTGTTGTTGTAAGTTGAGGATTACCTCATCTCGGGCAGCGTCACGGGCTGCTGCTTGGTTTCCATCGTTCATGGCGGCGTCCATTTTCGGATGAGACGGTATCGGTTTCTAGAAAGGGTTTAGAGGATATGAACTTAGTTGTTTATTTCTAAAGAGAACGGTTTTCGGATAGCTATAAGTTTGTTTGTTTCTATTCGGAGAGGGTTAGAGGAAGAGGGGAATCTTACCGGTTCGCGACGCCGGTAGAGAGGTTAAAGATGAGGGTAGTTGATAGGTGTTTTGTTGGTTGGTTAGTTTTCTAAGGGTTTTTTTTTTTTCGGTTTGTGAGTTTTGGTATCCTTTATTTTAACGGATTCTAAAGAGTATGACGGAGAATGATTTAAGATAAAGGAAGAGTTTTACTCACAGAAATATTTCTGTGATTCTCGCCAGCTTTTGAGGTCGGAAAAGATACGAGAGAACTTGTTGAGGATTGTATTGCAGTAGAGAGAGCTCGTATTTATACGCGAGGGATGGAATAGAGACATCGGTTTGAGGAGAGAGAGTTACAAGATAGATGTGAGGAGTCCCATTAGATGGGACGACTAGTATTACAATCGGATAGAGAAGTAAGACCGGACTTAGTTATATTCGGTCCGTCTTTAGTAAGTCTAATATACAAGATAGAGAGATAGGAAATACAAGAAGCGAGAGTATCAGTAAGATAGCCGAGAGCGGCTGACGGGATATAGGAATAAGGAAACAGGTAAACAAGGGAAAGACCGAGAGCGGTCGATAAAGTGTTCAGCAGCTGGATAAGGCTCCGCTGGAGCCGTTCCCTTATCCGGAAGCCGGGGCTTCACAAGCTGAGCAGAGCCTTTTTCCGTTGCTAGAATTCCTCTTCTGATGCGTCTGCTTTCAAACAGAATTATCGACTTTCTAATCTTCTGTTCAGCTACCCCAGCCTGGACTTTTGAGATTGGCGCGCGAACTGTTTTTCCTCATGTACATACAAGTAGATCTGTTTATTTTATTTTCCTTTTCTACGGATCTCGATAAGGATGCAACTACTGTCTTGACTAGCACAATGTACTGGTACGCGCACGATGGAAATGAGAAAATAACCGGGGCTAGATGAGGGATGCCGAAGGCAGACCCCGTGTATGGTGCACTATGAGTCGAATGGCGACAAGTGCACTCGGAATTAGACTGAGGCCAAGCTAACTCAAGATCAATTTGTGAGCACCACCTTGAGTGCTCTGCTGGGCCGGGGTTAAAATACGCCACGGACGAATTCGATCAAACTGGGCTCAGTGATGAGGATGGGAAGTAGTGCATACATGAAAACTTCAGTCTGAAGACAAAATGGAAGCAAAATAATGATAGGCGAGGCATATAAAAAGTGAAAACAAAGGCCCAATGGGGAATTAAGATGGTCTGTTATGAATATAAATCCTTGGTCATTTGTGTTTATTCGGTGGCTCTAATTTCCTATTCTCAATCGGGATCTTTATCAGGTCCTGAATTTGACAGTATGGTTTTGGAAATGTTAGCTGCTGTTTGCGGATGCCTTTCCTTTGCCTTTAAAGATGTCTTTTATCATCCTAAGAGTCCCAGATTTAGAATTGGATCCAGAATGTTTTCCCTTCAACTGTTTTATTTTAGTTTCTAACTCCTTGATTTTGCTATCGATTTCCTGGTTGTATATCTCTGTCAGGCCGTCGTCTTGAATTTCGAGGTTGCTTCGATAAGCTTTTAGTGATGGCGAATTCGCAATCAATTCTTCAATCAAAGAAAGTTCAACTGCAGGTGGTATAGGTTTTTTGATGTTTAAATCGTTTCGAAGAGGAAATTTGCCACCTAAGTATTTGGAAATATTTTCTAATTCGACAATAGCCTGAGCTCTAGAAGACAGCAAATCTAGCTTGTTCTTCACGAAATCTGTGTACTTTCCCCTCACTGAGACCACAATGTTCTCTTCTTTTCTTGATTCGGTTTGAAGAAAGGTTTGGTCGATAAACTTGAGGATTTGGCCCATAATTCTTATAGATTCACTTCTTCCCCAGTGTTCATTCCAGACTTCCGTGTCGGTGAAAATTTTGAAGATCGCGCCAAGCTGACGGACAACTTTTTCTTGATCAAGGTATCGCTCGCTGAGAACGCGGACAAGTAAATCAGTTTCAAAAAGGGCTTTGAAAGACCTTGCCAACGTTGTTTCCCCTGGAGTGAGACCTTCTTCTCCACGAGCTTTGATCGTCTTCGCAATCCAATCTAGGGCATCCAATTTGATAATTTCGTAGAAAAACATTTCTTTATTTTGAGGCGAAAGAACTAGCAAAGTTCAAGACAAAGATGTGGGCAAACGATGAGGATAAAAAAAACAAATCAGTTTGATGAGATTCAAAGAGTCGAGTGAATGGTTCTGCTTTTCAACATACCATTTAGCATATTTGTAAAGGGAAGCGAATACGGGAGTCCCACTAGGATGTCGCTATTTCTATAAAGTGGATTCTGGTATTCTTTCTCGATGTGGGAGAAATGCCAGAACAAGTTACGAGCGGCAGCCCTTACATATTCATCTGCATATTTATCTTTTTGGGTCAACTGTTCGAACCTCTTCTGAGTTATCAATCCATGCTTGTAGAGTTGATCAACTGTTGTGATATAAATTCTATGTATGGCCCAGAAATCCGGATCCTCCCTGTTATCACGGATGTTGAACGTGTCACGCATACTTTCTGCTAGGTTGTCAAGGCATTCATGAGGCAAGTTTTCTTTGACATTCGCTGCACTAATCGTCAATCTGGTTTCTTGACTACCTGACACATTTTTCCTTCCAGAATAAAGATATGTAATAATGTTTCATTTGCTGAATGCCACTTCCCGGCTGTTGCGAAAGAATTGTGAAGAGATAAGTTGGACTTACTTCTCCTGTGGACGAACATGATCTTCGAAAATTGTTGGGCTGGGTAAGTGGTTTCGGTCCGCCCAGGTTCGCAAGTCGTAACTTATGTACTGTTTCAAACTTTTGTGAATCTCCCGTAAATCTCCGACACTCTCAGTCAGCTTGGTTCTGATGGTATGTGGATAGGCCCGTGAATATGTTTTCCCTTTTTTAATGGACGCCCCAAGTCTATTGAGCTCTTGGCTTGTAAGTTCAAAGTCTTCGGCCAGGGACTTCATATGGACGGCTGTCCAGTAATCACGGTCAGCCAAACCTGTCTTGGCCTTTTGGATTATGAGGCCCAGTTCTGTTGTTGATTATTTAGGAACGAAAGAATTCAGTTGCTCAGACGCTTGTCCCATGAACACAACTTGGCAGCCTACGTTGTGATGCGGATCCAGGAGTTGGCTTGCTGAACGGTCCCATAGAGCTGAGGTATTGATCAATATCTCCTTGTGAGATTTGAGTCCTTTGTACAGCTCGATCATCATAGACACTCTCCTCCTTGGAAGTTTTCGCGAAGTCCTTGTAAGAGGTTCCTGGGCCTGCGGATAGATGGGCTGTTTGGTGAAAGAGGATGCCCGATCATGAGAAAAAGAAAAAGAAGAAACCATGTAAGTGCACGTAGGGAAAATGTAGACAGAGAACATACTCGTTTCCTCAAGCTTTTCGGAAGATTTGGGCAATAGGGAGTAATGATTCATGCATCGAGTTCCCTGCAAATAGCACGCAGCAATTATGATAGCAAAAGTCCTTCGGTAGCCTGAGGACATCGCCATCTTGGAGGAAAGGGTTAAAATGAGGATATGAAGTCTACTATGGTAGGTCACCAGGCCTTGACATTTCAACCCCAGACAAAGGGCGGAATTAGTTATACTGCAACCACAGAGCCCACGCACGGCACCATGATGCCATTGCTCCTATGGACGCTTATAGAGTCCCAATGCATCCTGTGACTGTGATATGGTGCAGAAGTTGGAAGTTGCAATGAGGGATTGAACAGACAAGACACAAAAAACAACCTCACATAGGGTAACGGAAGCCCTGGACCGACACAAATCGCGTCTGCGGTATCTGACAGTCGGAACAGTTTTTGACTTTGCGTTTCAACTTCGGTATCCAAAGATGCCTATACATACAAAGGAGGTTGTTTTTGGTGTCTCGTCTGTTCAGTCCCTCGCTCACAACTTCCAACTCTAGCACCATATCACAGTCGCAGGATGCATTGGGACTCACACCAATCGTGTCAGCAGTTTTTGGCATCACGTTTGATCTTTGGGATCAACATTGTTGATTATTCTGGACTACAGTCCATCAACCATATTTGTTAAGTTGATTGCATCGACCCCAAGAAAACAGGTCAATAGCCAAATTTTTTGATAAAAATGCCTGATATCTTGTCAAAGAGAAAAATAAATGCTAACAGTTATTTCTGAAGAATCATTGATATATATCAAGGCGTAGTAGTACTAGGAGCCTATATTTTTTGCTGTCAGGATCCTCTTAACTTGGATTTGAGATAATCTCAACAAGTAAAAAAAATCTGTGCACCATGAAAGCCTAAGTTTACAACTTAATCCAAAAAGGAAATCAACTGTGACCCACAACCGATACATAGCACCAAGAGAAAGACAAGAAAGGTGATAGAAGATTTTCTTGAATCATTAAAAATACCTTGGAGTTTTAAACTTTTATTATCTCTTAATTCAGTAAGAAACTTTCTAGTGATTTTTTTGGGAAACCTTAGTAGAATTCATGTTGGATTTGTATAATTAACATCATTGTATGTATGTAGTAAGTATGTAGTTTATAATAATCCAACACAGGGGTAGCCTGTATTATAATTTATGAAAAGGTGAAACTCAATTTCTGTTAGCTAATGTTAGTAGCAACTTGGGCAGTTCTATTCCAACTGTGGTGGCATTAGTAATCCACAATTCCCAAATTACAACAATGTGCCCTGTGTCCCTCCATTATATTTAGAGTGCAACATGATGTTATGTATCACCATTCAACATTAGTGCTCAAAAGGCAAGTCTTAGCACATTTATGGATAAAACTTTATCAATTTTGTCAAATCTCATCAATCATCCTTCTATCATCAGGTTTGGAGGAATTTGAGTTTTTTGACAAACTTGGAAAATTTTAATGATACATCCCATGAAACTTGGCTCAATGTTCAGACATGAACTGTCCTAATGGGCTTGTCTTGTAATAATGTTTTGATAGAGAAAACAGAAACAAAATGATTCTTTTTTTGGTTCATCCAGCAGACAAAAGCTTCATGCAGATAGACAGCTTAGGTAGAACAGCAACATACATTTGAGACCTTTCATCGAAATAATTGGTGGTTCAGTTGGCAAGCAAGCTGGGTCAAATTTGAATAGGTATCTTCTATCATCCAGACCGATATGATGAGCACCTTTTTTTATGACAACAAAGAACCAAAAAAAGAGAGCCACCTCACTTAACTATGTAAGTCCCCCCTCCGAAAAAAAAGGAGGGACTTAGTTAAGTTAGAGAGCCGCCATCTTCCATCCCCAAAAACATAAAGCAAAGAAACCCTTTCCTTCCAATCTCCATCTCGATCAATTGATATTGTCTAGCGTGACATAAAAACAGATGCCCTCGGCCAGGATCGAACTGGCGATCTCCGGATGACTCACTCTTACGGAGTGATCATATTATTATTCCCGGAAGGATGAATATGAGACCGGCGCTCTAACCAGCTGAGCCACGAAGGCCGTGAGAATTTCGTGCCGAGTGCAGTTTGCGATCCCGGGCGGCCCGCAGGCAAACTAGTCTGCTCGGGGCTTCTTCACCTAGACGATGAGTCATAAGTCTTTCTCTCTTGATATCGACGATACGCCGGTCGGCTCGCGGGTATTGAAATTTGACGGTCGATCGGGAAGATTCTCATATGCTGGACTCTCATACTGCCCCTATCGATGGACATGACCGCGCCGTCGAGGGCCGTTGTCGGACCAGTCTGCTCGAACAATTCTCTTGTCGCCCCGACACGCTCGAAGGGACACTCCTACACCCTAAATGGATCTGTGTTCCGGTCCATCGAGTCTTCAAACTGTAGGCCCCTCTCTTCTGGCTTCTTCTTTCTTTGCTCTTTTTCTTGTCGGGATCTCTGGCTTGGTAATGATAGTCCGTTTCTTTTTTTTGGACGATCTTTTGAAGTCCCGATCATGGATCCAGCTTGGGACTTCAAAGATTTTGTTTTTCGTTTGTTGCCGTTCGTTTCGGGAACTCAATCGAAACTGATTCTATGTACTCCACCTACATACTACATACAAATGCACATTTTTTAAAAAAAAAAAAAAGATGTCCTTCAACGACCTCCGATGGCCGGCAAATATCCGTTGAAGTCGGCCTACCGATCCCAACAGAGCCGAAAATCAAGCCGAAATACAATAAGAAAAGCTGAATTCACTAAACAATCTACCAAAAACAAAAATCAAGTACCAACTCTGGTTGTCGGCGCCACATTTGGGCGGTCCGTTACCCTCACAGTGTGCCGTGATAACGATTGATGTATTGCGAGTCTATCCGCAGTGAGCATGAATCAGCAAGTCTTCTCATTTCCGATCTCACTCTCTCAGTATCTCCGTCACTCCGCACCCGTATCACCTAAGCTGGATGTAAGACCTCCCAGCGCCCACAAGATGACCAACGGCGATGGCCAAGGGACCATCATGACACACCAATCGTCCCCCCAAAAAGGGCATGTGTTTATATACACATAATTGTAATATTGTCATCAGATGTCCACAACCAAGCACGAGCTTCACGCAAAGCCCGCACCTCCATTTACATCCCTAAAAAACAACAACAACAACAAGGGTAAAAAAGGAAAGAAGAAGAAAAAGAGCAAGACCGGCAGCAGTCGACAAAGGACACACAAAACCCAGTGTCTAAAAAAACAAAACAAAGAAAAGGGTGGCCGCTTGTTGAGAAAAAAAAGGAAAGATATATATTGCACATAATCCAAGCAAAAAAGCTGACCAAGACGAGCGAGAAACAAGGGGGTAACTGATTCTACCAGCCCGGTCCGCCAGATCCATTAGCCCCATTACCATTACCATTATTATTATTAGTGTTAATATTGTTAATATTTCCCGAGGAAGGGAGGCCATTACTATTATTGTTATTATTAGAAAATGAGGCGGATAAGTTCTGTAGAAGCTGTTGAGCATGAGGGTTAAAGGAGGGCTGATGATGTTGGTTCTGCAGCTGCTGAAAAGCATGCTGTTGGTGTGATTGTTGTTGCTGGTGTTGTTGTTGTTGTTGTTGGAGCTGCTGCTGGTGTTGTTGCTGGAGCTGGGGGTTTTGATGTTGTGACTGTTGAGTAAACAATTGATTTCGATGTTGTTGCTGAGCCAACATTTGCTGCATCAACTGTTGTTTATGAGCAGCTGGAGCGAGGTTAGAGGGCGGTTGTTGTTGGAGACAAGGATTGATCAGACTATTCCCATTATTATTATTATTATTGAAATTGTTATTATTGTTATTAGAGAGCGGGTTTGACAGGCCGGGCGAGTCGGTTGCGCGTGAGTTAGGTCTGACGATCGAGGTCGATGAAGAAGATGGTGGCGGTAGAGGCTGTGGGTGGAGTTGCTGGAATAAGTGGTAAGGCACCGGCGTCCTTTGGAAGATCAAGCCGTACAAGACCCGCGAGCCTCGGTTATAAAGAATTACCGCACCATGGCCCACATCATCGAACGGCGCGACAACAGTCTGAGTGATGGTTCAAGAGAAATCGAATTAATTGGCTCGACTCAGTTTATCATACATCAAATGAAAACCCAATTAAGTGAAGGAAGACACATACCATAAGCATCCCCAATCGTTCGCAAAGTTTGATATAAATATCTTCGTTAGAGATCCCTCCATTACTAGGGCTGGATGGTTCAGGCAACAAATGGATAGCGATTCCTCCAGGTTTTTCCGCATTCGTGGTTACAGATAGCTCGGGCATATGAGTCGGTCTTAGCCGATCGATTCTCCAAACGCTAGGCCATGAATCAGCTGCAGCTCGTCTTGAATACGTATGATTGGTTTTTGGAAGAAGAGAAAAAAAACGAAGTGAGGACCTTGAAGGATGAGTTTTGAATTTATTGGAAAATTGAACTTACAGCCAATCATTACTCTGCTGACCAGAGCAAGGGACGGCTGCGATAGGAATCGAGACTTCTCTCTTCTGAACCTCATTACCATTAGTGGCTGAACCAGAAACAGAGATATTCCAAACCAATCGGCCCTTCCATAGGATTGGTCCATCTGCCGCCTAAAAATGGTATCCAACAGGATCAGCTTGCTGGTCTATCCCACTTCCATTCTCTTAAGAAAACAAACTACTAACCAATGGTGGTGACACAGAAGGTGGCGGAGCCGCATTTTGGGTTGGTTCGTTACCTTGAGCTTTCGAGGCGTAGGTTCGGAGTCTACTCCATCGACAGAGGCAGAAGAAAAATGAGATTTTCTTGCTAAATAAACTGGCAAAGGATGGGTGAAGGAAATGGGACTGACAAATCGGAGACCATAGCCCTGACTCTTATTTGAGCAACTTTAACATCAGCCTCGGTAAGTTCACCGCGTTTGAACCTAGCTTGAATAATGCTGAGCTGTTCACGGCCTTTTGCTTGAGCTGATTCCATGAGAGCCATATGCGTCGCATTGAAGCTCCTTCCTGAGCCACTAGGGTTCATCGACTGGGCTGGTTGCTGCGGTTGTTGTTGTTGGCTTGAGACTATTGAAGCTGCGGGAAGTAAGCTGGGAGTAGATTGGGATGAGATTCCAGATGAAGTTGGCTTGTAGGAACCCGAGGTAGATTTTAGGTAGATGTTAAGATAGTCAGTGCTTGTCATTATACTAACCTAGCCAAAAAAAAAAAAAAGCGAACGAGTAAGGTACTAACAGGGCGCTGAGAGGCAGCATGTTGAGTCTGAATCTTGTGGGTTTCTTGGAGTTGTTGTAGTTGCTGTAGCTGTTGGTGTTGTTTTGCTTGGATTTGGTGAAATATCTGTTGAGGCTTTTGAGTTCCGGTTTGTGATACTTGCTGAGGTTGAGTGAGGTTAGAGGCTGAGGAGGCGTATTGGTTCGAAGGTTGCTGATCATGAGGAGAAGGTTGGGTCTGTTTCTGAGGGGAGGTAGGATGAGGCTGAGGGGTAGGCAAGAGGTTCTGAGGGGCATGGGTGGGAGCAGGTTGATTGGGAAGAGGGAATGATTGAGTCGATCTGACGATTGGCTGAGGACCTGTCAACAAGGCCAATGCCTGTGAAAGGGCATCAGTTGGAGGATTAGGATCAACTGATGCGACCCCAGGTGTGGATTGAGATCGATTTGAACCAAAAGCGGGAGCTAAGCTAGAGTTTGAGTGGGTTGCAGGTCCTACTGTGGCTTGAGGTACGGGTGAAGACTTGTTTGCGCCGATTAGGAGGGATAATCCTTGAGCCAAACTGTTATCGGGCATATTCAAGGCTTGATCGGATTGGGTTGAAGTCAAGGGAGGTGCGTTGGAAGATGATAGAAATGATGTGAGGTGTTGAGGGACTCTTGACTGAGTGGACTGCTCTTGTGGTGGAATGACGATGGGAAAACCAGGGGTCAATGAAGTCGTGCTAACTGAAGGATAGGGAGCACTGGTACTGGTAGCTGTGTTCGAGAATGTATTAGAGGATGGTGCTAATGGGGGATGATCATCATCAGATTCGGTGCGAGGGCGCTTGATCGAGAGTTGAAAGTTGCCATCCTGGATACCTTTGTTGGTCAGGTTTCTGGATGTAACAGAGCCAGCCAGATGGGAGTTGGGTGAAAATGGGATCGAGGTGCTATTGTTGGATGATAGAGTGGCTGGGCGTTTATTGGAAATAGCGTTGATATCAGTGAGACCACTGATCATGATCGTATGACTCTGATGTAGCGTCCTAACCAAGTTTTGCTGGCGTGTTGCGTGAAATGCCTGGGGTCCAAGATGCTGAAAAGAAAACGGACGAAGCAGATGATGAGTTTAACTTCAGGGCAATTCAAAAAGAAGAAGAAGAAGGTGGTGCTCACTCGTGCCAAGAAGCTCAGTAGACGGGGAGTACGACTTGTAGAGATCAAGCCAAGTGAGATTGATTTTCGTTCGAGCAAGCCCAAGTGTTTGTCATGAATCCATCTTCCTTGGCTATCTTTGATGAATCTACCGCACAGATCCTGGAAGGTGAGGCCATCATATTCAGCGGTTTGGTTGAACATGGGAACGGTTTTGGGTAAGTCCTCATTAGTAGGGTCGAAGTTCTTCCTAGGGTCGAGATGCAGCCCGGCCGGTCCGATATCTGCTGAGGTGAGGATGATGATATGTTTGTGATGAATGGATTGTGGTTCGGTTTTGGTTCGATTGCGATGATGAGGAGGGGCTGAGTTGGAGGATGGATTTCGGTCGAGGAGTTCGAATGCGCAGATGATCGCTTCCAGGATGGCAGGGTCATCCCCACCGTAATCAAACAGGCCATCGAGATCGGTCGAGTGATCTGAGGGAGCTCGTAAGGGGAGGAGGTCGGGGATGATTTCGATGAATTGGCTGAGTTCCAAGAAGGGGTAAGGTCGAGTGATGGATTGACTGGCGGGTACGGCTGGGGGGAGTGAGGTGAAGAAGACTGGGACGAGTCGGAGGGTGGCAGTTGGATGGATGAACTGGAGGCCTCTGGAGGTGGGGCTGTTATCAGTGTGGGCTGAGTTTGAGCTGGGTTTGAATGGTAACTGACCTCAGATAGGCTTGGATGTATTCTGCTCCATACTGCTTCCAGTTGATTCTAGATCTGAGTGAGCCATCGATACAGAATACGCATGAGAGGATAATCTGAGCCTGGTTATTGTCAGTAGTTTTCTGTTGTTGAGGTTGAGTATTGGCTGTTGTTGTTGATGTTGATGATGATGTTGTTGTTGTTGTTGGGATGAAGTCGGTCATGGTTCAGTGGCAAGTTGGCTGTGGCTGTGGCTCTTGATCGGTGTTGCTGTTCAACTCGAACTGGCTATGTACAATTTATAATTTAACAGTTAACTTATCCTAGCTTAGCCCAGTTGGGCTCATATTGAATACACTCAGCCTGAATGGCATATTGCATACAGAGTACAAGCTCAATCCATTCACCAGGCACCTGCCACAATCATGGAGTTTTCGTGTAAGCAACATCCTAATCGATCAATTGACTGATGAACATGCATACCTATTCTGATTGATCCATCGGAAAACCATCCATTTTGTTTGTTCCTCCAACATCCAAGCAAATCTTGAGTTCATTAGGGTTTTCACTGTAGAGTGGATTTCTAATCAAGATTTTCTGCTGAGGAAATGAAATCAAGCGGATCTAAGAACACCCTTCTATTTTTCTATGCAAGCGTTCTAATGGGCAACAAGACATGTGAGTTACATAGATCTCGAAGGTCATCAAAAAATCATTTTTAAAACCTTCAGCGGAAACATTCTAGTGTACAAAACCGTCTGTCACTACGGACAAATAGTTGTCGCTGCGGCCCGCAGCGTCACCCAGACGTTTCGAGTCAAACCAAATCCTCACGCTACGTCAGCAGCAGAGACAACTCAACCCATGAAACAACACACCACACTACATTCCTTTACAACGCCAAAAAAAAGTAACCTGGGGCCTGGATTCCCCAACCCTGCCCATCTTCCTGGAGGGCAAATATCAGATATCTTGATATTATACACATACCGGAGTACATGTATACATCACACCTCATCGGGTGTCATCGCCTGATTTGCCACTATGTAAGGCCGGCCGGTCAGCGAACCTACCTGACGGCTCACCCACCGGCCAACATTTGTTACACCTCTTACACCTCACCTGCCAACAGCAACAGTACAGGAGTTACTACTCATTGACCGACCAACACCAACATCACTCTTCACCAGCCGGCCTGTTGACCACCCTCGTCCATCAGGCTTATCAGCTGCGATCAAGCTCTGACAATAAGCGATTGAGGCGGGCAAGGCGGAGGAGTTCAGGGTGATCGTGATCGAGAAGGCGGCGGAGGTGGGCTCGAACATCCTATCAGGGGCGGTGATCATGACCCGGGCGTTGGGCGAACTGTGGCCGGAGTGGAGAGAGGACGGGAGTGCGCCGATAGTGATGAAGGCCAGCTCAAAATCGATGAAGTTCCTGACCGCCCGCTTGGCCTTCTATCCCCCGCAGATGAACAATAAGGGCAACTACATTGCCTCCCTCAGTAAGGTCCGTTGGTGGCTGGCCAAACAAGCCGAGGCCCTCGGCGTCGAGATCTACTCGGGCTTTGCCGGTGCTAAACTGCTCCACTCGGACGATGGCAAGGCCGTCCAAGGGGTCATCACCAACGATATCAGCCTTGATCGCTCCAGGAAACCCAAAGACCCGGAATGGAGTTCCATGCTAACAGGATCTTGTTGGCCGAGGGCTGCCATGGTTCGTTATCCAAGATGGCTATCGAACGCTTCAAGTTAAGAGACGGCAAAGACCCCCAGACCTACGAGAGACGGCAAAGACCCCCAGACCTACGGTCTCAGGATCAAGGAAGTCTGGAGAGTTAAGGACGATGTCTACGAGCCGGGTAAGGTCCTCCATACTCTTGGCTGGCTACTTCAGCGGGACACTTATGGGGGCAGTTGGATATACCATCTCGAGGATAACATGGTCTGGTTGTTGGTCTGGATTATCCAAACCCATACCTGTCTCCTTATCAGGAATTTCAAGTGAGTGTGGCATTGAAAATCTACAAGTTTTTATTTTATCTTTCTTCCTCTTCCTCTCCATCATCTCCTCAAACCCAAGAACTGATTCAAGTCAGTTACCAATTCGGCCAACACTTCGGCCTCGCCTTCCAATCATCCACCTCCATTTTTTTTCCTCAAAACAAAAAAAAAATCCCTCCATCTTGAACTGATTTCTGGGCCATCTCCACATTCAGATTGTTGATGATATTTTGGACTATACAAGCTTGGAGGACGAGCTAGGGAAGACGGGAAACGGGTCAGATCTCAAGGCCGGACTGATCACCGGACTGGGACTATTTGCATGGAAGCAATTCAACTGGACTTTTGGCGAGCTGGTGGTCCGCAAGTTCTGTAATCCTGGCAACCTTGATCTCGTTGAGTCCTTTCTCTCTCCCTCCCCTTCCCTAACCCTCCCCAGCAAAGATTTTCTTCTTAATCATTCACCGGCTTTGTTTTTGTTGGTAGGCGAAAGAAATGGTCCATTAGTCCGATGCTATTCATAGCTCTTATCAGCTCGCTTCTCATCACATCCACCTCTACCTTTCTCAACTCAACTCGTTCAATGACTCCAAAACCAAGGCTGGCTTAGAATGACTCTGTGATCTTGTCCTCAATCGTAATCATTAAAATATCCTCTACTCCCTCTTTTCTGTTTTTTTTGTGGATTTCTTGAGTTTTTTTTGTTTGGTGACAAAAAACACTGTTTATAGAGTGGTTATGTTTTGAGTTAGATTCTTCTTTCTACTACCTACGATCTGTTAGATTTCCAAGGGGGGGGGGGTTCTTTTTTTGTTTAATGTATAAGGCTCTTCGGTTCCGATTCCTATAATCTCCCCCCCCCCCCCCCCAGGAAAAGCCGAAAAACCAGAAACAAATTGGAAGTTGGGGAGAGAGAGAGAGAGAGAGAGACCCACCCAGTAGTCAGTAGTCCACTGCTCTTTGACAGGGCCAGCCAGACCGAAGGCTGACTGAGGATCGGGACATCAGGAGAAGAGTGAGTATATCCCGAATCCGGAGTGAGAAGGAGGGGGGGACGGCTAGGAGGACGAGGAGAGAGCATTGAACAGATCCATGGAGAAGATATCGTTAGAGGGGTCATGACTAGAGGGCGGGCCGTTAGCAGAGAATCTGGGGGAGTTATTGGAGGGCGAGTCGGCAATATAGATGGCAGAGGAAGGGTTGAGGGTGGAGCCGGAGGAGGTCGAGCCGGCGGAGGGTTTTTGGTTGGCCAGGAACCGGAACTTGAATTGACGGCTCTGGCGATGATCACACAGTGCTTGCTGTCGCTGCGAGGGGGCAAGTGTCGTTGCAGATCCAACTTTGATTTGGTCGCGCGACATCTGAATCTGCTGGGAAACGTCAGGTGACGCTGCGGGCCGCAGCGACAACTAATTGTCCGTAGTGTGTAGTGTCATCGCGGGACTCCATGGCGCAATGGTAGCGCGTTCGACTCCAGGATCGGTTCATCGAAAGGTTGCGTGTTCAAGTCACGTTGGGGTCACTTCTCTTTTGACGTTTTTTGTGGGGGGCATTTCAAGCTCATGACATTGTTGTACCCAGGACATCATGACACATGAGATGATGCCTGTGGCTAGAATCAAAAAACCATACAACATTGCTTTAAAAAAAAAGGATTCTGATGAAGGAAGTGTGTATTGGATCATTATTTTTCAACGAGCAAACGTGAAGCACCAGCGCGAACGACGGGACTGATGTCGATTTTCGTTCGGGAAGAATGGTCGACGAAGACATGGACGAACTTGCCGACCGCATGACATCCGATCTGATCGTCCCTTGCATTATCAACCCTAGCTGGCTGACCGGACTCGGGGGTCGAATTGGAGGCCCGAGTGGAGGACCATAAGCCTATCCGCCAAACCACACTCGACCTCCCGATCCGTTCGACGGCCAAGCCCAGGATCACCCGGGTCGGGAACCCGACCGGCTTCAGATAGTCGCATCCGGAATGGACTACTAGGCCCATCGATGGCTCGTCTTCCGCACATTCTTCTCGTAAATACTTGTTCACTATCGTGTCAAATAACTCGTAGTATTTCGCGCTTGAATCAGATACGTCACACACATCCAAAAAAAAAAAAAAAACAAGAGAGAAGCAAATCCGAATCAGGTCTTGTAGTTCTCTGATCAATTGTAGGTTTGGTTTCGGGTCTCATTCAATCCGCTCAAATGAGAGACTTTTCTTTGGGAAAGAAAAGAGCACCGACTTGTTCATGTGCCCGTACACGTCATTATCCTATAACTCTCGGTTGGGCAGGAATTGGGGGAAGAAGAAGAAGAAGAAGTCAACGGAGATAGAAGGTGATGACGATCAAAGAGTTTGAGAGAGAGAGAGAGAAATGACGTACAGACCAACGGGTTTGGACGGGCACCCAATAGCGATAAATGTGAGGCTGGGTCCATTGTGAGGCAGCAATCGGGGAGGATTCGTTGTTGTTCTTCAGGGCCGAGGAGGGTGCAGGTGCTTCGGAGGATGAAGGTCGACGCGCACTAATGCTAGAAGAGTGTTGATCTTGGGTTGTAGGGCTTCTGGAGGTTGGACTGGGTCGGAGATGGCTGGAAATCGCCGCGAGTCGAATCCTGGCAGCGGCTTGCTGCTTCGCGATCGCCATCGTCGCTCCGAATGTGTACTCTTCTACAATCACCGGCTGTCAGCTTGAGGATGTGTTGCATCAGGTCCTCTGCTCTTCTTCGCCATCCACCGCCTCGGCCCTCGGTCAACAACAAGTGATCTTATTTAAATGCATAAATATGTACTTAAATACATACAAGGAACTTCAACTTTGGCTGGGTCCATCAATCAGCCATCGCGTCGGTTCGACTGCCTTTCTCAAACCCTTATGTAGTCCTTTTCTATTTAGCCTTCATTCTCCTTCTTCTTCTTCTTCAACAATCATCTCAGCTTTGTAGCTACATACGTGTGTGTATGGAACCAGTCAATCACAGACATACAAAGCATTTTGTTTTCTTTATTGACAAAACCCTATCTGAGCCGAAATAGCAAAATAAGGGAGAGATACAGACACATTTACACGGCACACTTTTGACTTGACTTTCCTCGCTTCATTTCATTTCATTTGATTTCTTCTGCTATTTTTTGAGATAAAAAAGAAGGGGGGAAACAGAAGAAAAGGAAAAACCTGGCAAAAAAGTGCTTCATGATTATTCATATATGTCAATCAAAAGGAAAAATCAAATGTGGCGCATGGAACATCCAAAAAAAAAAGTAAAAAAAAAAAAAAAAAACATCCAAAAAAAAAAAAAGAGTGTGGAAAGAATGATAATTTCTAGCATAGAATTAGATGAGTCGAAGGATATAAAGGAATGAAAGGCAAGACAAGAGAGAATCAAATGATCATCGACCGTCAAGTCAGATGACGTGATGATTTTTTTAACAAAAAAAGGGGGGGATAATGATAATCAAAAAAAAAAAAAAAAAAGAAACCGAGTTGATTTTCTTCTTCTTCTTCATTTTGTGAACCAAGTCGATCCTATCGACCAATAAAAAAAAAGTATGAAAGAGTAAAAGAAGGTAAACGGTGGGGGGTTTTTTTACGAGGTAGAGGATTGCAGGAGTCTTCTGAGCGCGATGATTTCGCGTTCGGTGAGTTCGATCGACCTTGCGATCGACCGACCGAGTCTTCCTCCGCCATGAGCCGCGCCGAATCCGATCCGGGCCTCGTCCAAAGCGGCGGCCTGATAAGCCCTCAGGTTCTCGAAGAGCTGGAGCTCGACTGAGATCTGACGCGCATTGGCCGGCTTGGCCTCGGCCTCGACCGTCGACGCGCACAGATGTCCATACACCTGGGCAATCACCGACCGTGTCACCACGCTGCTCGGATGCCCGACCCCGTAGATCTCGTGGACTCCCCCCAAGATCTGTTGCACATCGCTCGTCGCTTGGCTTAGGTTGCTCTTCTGCGGTCGCATCAGATAACTCGCCATCCGCATCCGCCGTAGATCTAGAATCGGATAAAATCCTGACCCAAATGTGAACGGCGAGAGTTTACTTTGGAACCATTCCATAGCTTTTTCTGCATAATAAGCCGCTTTGGCTGGCTCTTTGATTTCATAAAAAAGAAGACGTGTGCCAGTTAAAAAAAAATCCCTCTCAAGTTGAGCAAATATTCATAAGATTGCTTACCCTTTGCAGGATCCAAAGCTTTACCAGATTTTTTGATTGCAGACCGCTGTCCCTCCACATCAATCAATCGAGAGAATCCACAATGAGGACAAGCGATCTCCTTTCTGACGGCCCGTTTCGAAGAAGATGGACCGGCATCTGGACGACTACTACTGGGCGATGACATCTCGAAAGCTGGTGAAGAGATATTACTGGAATCCGCCCCATCTGGTCTTTTGGCTATAAAAGTACAGCATCGCAATCTCACATTAATGATGTCGTCTCGTAAGAAAAGGACTCATATAGCTTACGACCAATAGAAAACCAGTTGGTACATTTGGGACATTTGAGCGCTTCCCTTGGATCGACTTGCTGATCGTTCCAATCGGATTGACACGCCTGACAGTCACAGACGAACTTGTATCGCTTCACGAGTTCATTCCGACGTTCCTGACGGGTCCCAGCTGAATCGATGTAAGACGTGACAATCTATGAAAAAAGGCCGTGCGCGACGAAAGTCAAGACAGTCAATCTATTGTTTGGAAAGATCTAATCCAGTGAAAAAAGAAATATTAGCTACCTCTTCTCCAGGTTCAATGGGCTTGATCGCAATCACTTTCACCCATTCTTTCCCCGCCGTGCTACCAGCTCCCTCTCCTCCCTCGGGAAACACAACGACTGCATTGGGATTGCAGGAATGGTTGATGAAGGCGGCTGAGGGAACGAAGACGACCCCGATTTGATCGAGAATGATCGAGGTGAGTGTGAAAGAATTATCGATGAACTGGAAGTGTAACCCAGCATAACTCAAGTCAGCCATCTAAGATCTTGCCTACAATACCGAGACTCTTGTGAGTGTACTATTGAGATTTGCACCAACCCGTGAGCATAATGGTAGCAAGGCTGAAGCAGATTCAAAGACTGCCAGTAATTCCTGATTTCCTACGTATCGGCTGAGGGTGACACTGAGCTGCATGAGTGATTCTTTTTGGGTTGAATTGTATTCGTTCAAGTCTGATTGGCGTATTTTTTTATAAATGGTTAGGATACGAAGGGCATCAGAAATCGATCAGTTGTCTGAGTACTTGTTGGGCAACAAGTCTTGATGATTGATATTATGATCGGGACAATGAGATTAAGATGTTATCTTCGAGACAGAAGAAGAAGGAGAATGATTGAGAAACAGCGGACTAACGGTGTTGAAGCTCGCTCAGTCCTGTCCACTTAAAGTCAATACTTGAATGTCAGAAATCGAATCTTTCAACTTTAGAAGGATGAGTAAGGGAGATATAAAGTGAGATGGCCGACCCAATCCGGGTTAAGTTTTTCTTCCTTGCGTTTCTTCCAAATCAGTCTACCTAGGGCTCTGACCGTCGCACTTGGGATGCGTGAGATCGTCTGTGGATCGTTATCCGGTTCGTCTCCACCCAGTCCGAAGGAATCCTTCAAGCCAATCCCGCCAGGACTACTTCTTGATTTGGATTTCTGATTGGCCTTGATGGCTTCTTCTGCTAGTTTTGCATAGTTTACCAAGGCCGTACATTCGGGTTTATGGGATGCCCAATCCAGTTGTTGGCAGTTCTGTTGATGATTAACAGACGATCAACACAATGATGATATTAGTCTTGATGTATGTTTTTTTTTTTCTTTGTTGTTGGGATAGTAAATCAAGTGGTACGAACCGAACCACAGTAGGCTATGACCTTGCATTTCCCACACCTTCGTATCGTCCGATTGGATGGAGTGGATGGATTGTCCAGTTCGAAGTCTTGTTTCTCTAAGAAGCAACAGGAGCATCTTGATGATAGGGATGAGGTATCGAGTACGGCCACATGAGGGACCAGAGAGAGTAGTGTGGTGCCTGTATGATCGGGGGAGGGATTAGTATATCCAACTCAATTGAGGCAGTGAATGAGCAGAGGATGTGTTTCCTGACCTGGTTTGATTTTCGAGTTGAGCTGTTTCTTGATGAATAATCCTCTACCTCTCGAAGGTTTATTAGGATCGATTGAGATGTGAACTGATTTATTATTTTTGAATAGTTTTGGAGTACAGTTCTTGTTCTGGTCTGAGTCGGAGGAGGTGGTCGTCATAGTAGTTTCTGGTTTCTGATTCTGGTTTTGGATGTCTCGGTTGTTGTTGTTGTTGATTGTCATTCTCTTTCTCGATGATGAGATGGGTGTCCTGCTATCTTCATGTCTCGTTATACGTCTTTAAGTAGTTTGATGTTGTTGTTGTTGTGGTTGGTTTGTTGTTGTTAGTAGTTTGCCCTCCTTGAAGTTGAAACTTTGAACCTGTTGAACCTTCCTCCTCAAAGCCGGACCCCCCTCTGAGCAGAACCACCAGCACTCTTCTGGCACCAACTCTGGGTTAGGGCTCACCAGTGGGCCCCCCTCGAGTCTGTCCGATCGGAACAGGCACGTGAAAGGTGGTCTGTTCTGTCACTCCCAAGTTGGCTTACCACCTTCAAGAGCTTGGCCCATCTGAATCCGAACAACCAAAAACTGAAAGTACAGTCAAACCTGTCTAAGGGCATACCCCTTGGGAGAAGAGTTTCTGTATGCCTTTAGACAGGTTATGCCCTTAGAAGAATTGAATTTGCAGTAAAATCCAAATTTGGGAGAAGCTATACACTATGTCATTATGCAGGTTATGCACTTAGAAGGGTATGCCCTTAGACAGGTTTGACTGTAAGTCAAATATCTCTCCTCATCGAATCAGATTAAGAAATGTATACAAGAGGAGCTGATGTGGTGTCCAACAGTAAAACAAGGATTTCTGACCACCATCAACAAACTCGTAACCTCGAAACTGACCTCTGGACGCGTCACGACTCAAGGAAGAAGATGGTTGCAAAGCCAAAGAGACGACTAGCATCAGGCGAGGTTGACCTGAATACATCTCCCTCCTCAAAACTCGCAAGCCCCAGAGAACAACGCAAACAACCCAAACGACGAACCCTACACTCTCAACTGCACTCTTCTTCTCCCCCATCTCCTCAAGCTCTGATCGATGATCCTGAAGAACAGGAAGAAGAACATCACCAGCAAGAACCACAACCAAACTCATCTAGTCCTTCACATAATCAGAGCATCTCAGATCAAAGACCATCTTTAACCACTCATCAGCAAGCACAGGAGGAGAATGACAAAGATCAAGAGGAGGAACATCAGAAAACGATCAAAGAACAAGAGGCCAGAGAGAGGATATTTGATGAATTCAAGGACGAGTTGAGTCTATCTCACAGCACCTCAACATTCTATCAAGACTAATGAGACTACGACATCCCCATCAAATTACAGATACTTTGACAGTACGTCCTCCGATTCCAAACCAGGTCTTCCTTAATACCCCCTCCAAAAAAAAAAAAGAACATCGACCCACCCCCTCTTGACGTTGTCTTTCTGTGAATAGTCATTGACCAAATCCCACTCGACCTCAACCGGAAGTTTAGTTGTATCACCGAACTCGAGGCCTCACTCGAAGGTGCGTTCAAGACCCTCGGATCGCGCTTCCAAGCTCAGCATTTGACGCTTCTTGAATGCCTTCCTCTCTCTAAATGATCGTCATACTTGGTCGCAGAATGTAAACGAGAGCTGCATGAAGATTTGATAGCGTATACCAACTTTGCCAAGGAGATGGCGTCGGCCGCGGGCCCCGAGTCGACCATTGCTGGAACAGCGGTCGAGGTAGACAACGAGATCACCAACAGACTGCGGACGTTAGCCCAACCGATGCTGTGGGGAGTCGTGCCGATCCCGCCCATAAACGCGGACACAACGTCGGGCCTGCCAGAACATCTCAAGAGCTTACTGTCGGAGATCTCCGGGAAGATTATTCGCTTACAGGAGCTCTCGCACGACAAACTGAACCTGGCCGAATCAGTGTATGTCTCCCTGGATCGCCAGCTCAAACGGCTGGATGCAGACCTGGAGACCTACCAAGACTTGGAAGACCAGGACGCGCAGGTCGAACGTCGCCATCATGAGGCTCTTAACGATCAATCAGACGGCCATGATCAATCAAATCAACCCTCACAACAAGAACAACCCCAGCTCACCCCTACCTCGACCCGTCTCAACCAGCAACCTCACGTCGGCGAACAGGCCCAGGAACTTACGCTCGAGCCCTCTGGATCGTTCAACTCTGCAGACGATCAGACACTCTATTGTTCTTGTCAAAGGGTCACTTTTGGCGATATGGTAGCCTGCGATAACCCGGATTGTCAGGGCGGCCAATGGGTACCTTTTCCTTTTCTTCTAATAACAACAACCAAAAAACTGATGTTAAATCGTATGTGTCCATGGTCTCTGGTCAGTTTCATCTAGAGTGTGTCGGATTATCGCAATTGCCTACTGAGGATAATCAGGCCGAATGGTTCTGTGATCAATGTCGTTCACAATCTTCTACTGCTTCTGCTTCTCATTCCGGAAAAAAGAAGAAGAAGAAAATCGGGCGGAGATATTGATTGCCTTGTTTCGTTTTTCATACGGTGGTTCTTCATGTCAGAAAGTCGTGATTTTTTTGGGCTCTTGTGGATTTGTAAAAAAAAAAAAATGACTGGAGATGTGAGAGGCAGCTGTAATGATAACTTCAATTCGACCTTTCATTCACATTTGGCACGAAAATTCTTCTTGTAATTAGCAGGTGAAGGGTATCCCTTACTTCGTGTCTTCTCGAATGAAATAGAACCCATTATGCGAGCCTTGATACAGGTTAAGTTGCGAGAAAATAAGCAACCCCAACAACAATGACATGAAAGCTCAATGGTTCTCAATAAAAAGGCTGTGCAGACTGTTAAAGGATGTTCCATGCTATCCAGTAGTGGGCTGGCATTTGGTTTGGTGTTCACTGATCTGGTTAACATGCAGAAATGAATTATTGAGATCTATTTGGTTGGTCATACATCGTTCAATGTCATTGTTTCAATCCAGTGTCCATACAATTTCAAACAAACACAGAATAGTGAAATCTAAAGAGGAAGAAGAAACATTTTCGAAGGCAGTACGTTCAAGTTTAACATAGAAATCTCGGGTGTGAAATATTCAACTTCATGCCTAGGCTCCATGGATGTATCAATCAGAATGAAATCAGGGTGATTACATTGGTTGGCCATGATCTGATAATGGGCAGATATTTTTGATGTTGTTACAGCGATTACCACAGCATAGAACAGGGCCCAAGTATTTCACTCAAAGTTGCCCGGCGATGGGGTGCCATTACAAGTCCAAGTTTCCTATCCATGACACCGAAAAAAAAAAGGAAAGGAAAGGAAAGGAAAGGAAAGGAGAAGCATAGGTTTAGTACAACAGATCTTCTCAAAGATGAAATTGGACAAGTGATCTTAAACCATTGCGCCGCCGATTTGCGGCTTTTGCAGCTGGTTATATGTATGTATAGTACTCACATCCCTGGATCCTGGTTGTTGTACCGAGACATACCAATCACTTGGATTCGAACCTAGATTTAAGCAAGCAGGCACCTTTTGAATTTGTTATACGCATAAGGAAGCCCCATAATGGACTCATCAGCTTTTGTCATTACAAGGGCATCATGATGCTGACTTTGGGATCTGCCTATTGTTTTTTTGAAAGTGTAAGATTATCTTTAAGCAGCAGAGGAAATGCACTCTTACCGTTTGTAAATTGAATCCTCTGTCTTTCAGAATCGGGATCACATTAGGCATAACCTGGATGGAATGAGAATCAGGTTAATTAAGACGACTCAATAAAGCATCATTTTGTGCAAGTAGCCGTTTGCACAAGGAGTATAATCTTAAGAGTGTGCCACAAGAGGATGACTAGAGAGAGCAAAATCAAAAACTCGACCAACGTCATTGACAGTAAACGACTTGGTTTCGTGATTCAAGACGTTGGTTTGGTCGGGGTAAGAGCGATAGCTTTCGATTATTTCGGAGGAGCTCGGAGGGGCACCCAAGCTGTCGCCTGAATCTTGCGACCATAGAATCAAGCCTCTATATCCCCTGTCTCGCAATACCTGCAGCTGGAAACGCAACATGCCGATCCAGATATTAGTTCAGATGGAGAACCCTTCATCTCGGCCTTCAAACATCCATTTTTTGCTCACCACAACTTCATTGTATTCTCCTGATTGTGCCGTGCACATTGTTTTTGGGGGGAAATGTTCAAACAATAGTCGTGTTCATTTTATCTCTTCGGATGGATCAGAACCAGGAATTTGTATCTTTGACGAACCATACGGAGGTCTAAAATACAGGGGTTTGACACCTAGTATTTTTATCATAGCCTATTTACAATGTCCATCGGTAAAACAAAAAATCCGGTCAGGAACGCATTTATTAGTTAGTCTACAATAAGCTTGGTGTTTGATGGGCAGAAGGAATCTTACATTCTCGATCAATTCGAGTTGATAGGCGATTTGTTCGTACGTGCCTTGGTTTAGATGAACGTGGGACCAAGTATGGCTCCTGTGAGAGAACCGTAACCGTTTTTTCAAAAGTGATCAGAAGAAGAAGGAAAAAAAAATGCAGACTGCAGTGGTTCAAAGAATTCATTCTTTACGCAATCAAGTGGCCATTCTTGAATCTGTCAAGTAGAGGCCCTGCATGATCATAGATGCAGCCGAAATTATTCCCGTTGATGAAGAAACTGGCTTTGGAATTCGAGTTATCTAAGGTGGCATCCAAGTTTGAACTGAACTCCGACGGCCCATCATCGAAAGCTATGAAGGACACGACAAGCAGAGTAAGTTGTATTGAAATCAAGTTGCTTGAATAAACAGAGCTTATGTAGATGGCGAGGTGAGGTATTTACTGAGTGAGAATGATCCAGGTGTGTTGCAGGTAGTATACACTGGAACGGAGTCGGCTCTAGCAGTAAGACCCCTAGTGTGCAGCTTGTTTAGCACAGATCCAGGGTCGTGCCGTGGTTTGGCCAAGCTCGAATCTGTCACAATCACAAGTATGACTAGAGTGATCATGGAGGTTAGCCATGGCTGGGCCCTCATTCCTGAGCTCTCAGCCATTCTGGAATTTCGCACTGTGAATGGAAAAACTTAAGGATTTCGTTGTATCAGGCAAAACAAAACTATCAAATCACACAAAATGAAAATGATAATGAAAGTAAAAAGTACCTGAAGACAAAGGAAACTACGACGGAAATGAAATAAAAAGAGAATGTCAGGAAGAGGATAGGATCAATAAACTGCCAAAGAGAATGCGAACAAGAACATACTTGAAAAGCAATGATTGGTTGAGGAGTGAGCTTTGATCTTATTCAGATAGAAGATTTCTTTGGTTGAGTTGAGTTGAGATCGTCGGGACTGGTGTTTGATGTATTGAGTGAAAAAGATGTGAATACCAATCATCAAAGGAGGAACGACAATCAGAGTATATGAAGATGAGATTATTAGGAAGATGGCACACTTTATTAGCGGCAAGTTCCCCGGGGAAAGGGTTGTTGGTGTTGAAGGGGGGTGAGATTATCAGCAAAAGCTGGAGATCGGAGCGAGGAGGAATCTGTTAGATGAGAATGATCGAGACGGGGTTTCTACAGATGTGACCGGCTGAGCGAAAAGGAAATATCTGAGCGAAGTCGAAAGCGGAATAGGATATTAAGATATTTGCTCTGGGCCGAGCCCGAGAGGAACTAGAGGGGATTTTCAAGATCTCAACACGCACGCCGGTCTCCGAGCTTCCGTTTCTAGTCAGCTCAACTCACCGCTATGGGACAGCTAGTTGTAGACTGCGATTGGCCTCTTGATGGGCCTGCTGGAGAAATTTTCAGATTAGCTGATCTACGAGGGAAAGATGGGGCTACGGGCTCTACTAGCACGAGACGCACCGGCTTTAAAACAAGCACAGTTATGCTCAAGGTGGAGAGCATCTGCAACTCGCGCAAAAGAGGTCCCGGCTAGAGAGTTTAATACATAGAGATACGACTCGGTCGCGTTGGAGTGGCAGCCTATCGCCGAGTGGGTAGCCATCAGGTACCTATCAAGCTATCAAGATTCAAGATGCTTGCCTGCCTTTGGCCTTTCAATTGAGCAGTTCATCAAGCGCCAAATTATTGAATCGGAAATTATAGTATACAATCAGCGGCTCAGGTGCAGATCTTAAAACCACTACGATGTCGAGAGAAGGACATTTGACCAACAATTTATAAATGATTCCTGAAGCCGCTGTCCTCGCGGTTACACCCGTCATTGTGCGTCGTCGATGGCAACGATAAGTGACACCCCACGACTTGCCGTATCTTTTAATTAATAAAAATGAACCTGGAGCGGGCTCGCCCCACGTTGTTGGGTGTTGCCGATGGATGCAAGAGTTTAATCATACTTCACAACTCGCGACATTGTGGAGGATGCATCTTTTTGATCGATCTCTAGGCCGGAGGAAGTTGTAGATAGAGTCAAGGGGATGTCTGGCAAAACGGAAATAGCATGAATGCTCAAATATGTTCGCAATACTCATTTAACTGGGAGTCTCGCTGTCACCACCCGACATATTGGCTGTAGCGCTTGCAAAAAAGACCGTCAAATGCTCTAGTGGTACTGGGATGATTTCATGCACCCAAGCATCGAGAAGGCTGCTCAAAGATCAGTCAAGAACCGAGGCATTCAAAGCTTCATGCTCAAGTCTCATTATTAAATGTTGGAGGTAACTGGGCTGGAATCATCAAGAAAGACTTAGCATTATTCAATAGAGTTTAGAAGAAATGAGGTATAAGATAGAAGCAGGATTAGAAGTACATCGTTTTGATAATAAAATCGAATGTTTTTTTTTGTGAATACTGTTGAGTGAAAAGGATATAAATGATGTGTGTATCAACGAGACAACGTATTATTAAGTATGCATTGGCGAAGACGTCGACATTTATTCGAACATTCCTGGTGCCGGTGTGCCATCACAAGTCCACGATTCCTAAGAGTTCAGAACGAAGACATCAGTGCTCATTGTAATTTGAAGAGTCGGTATTGATAGAGGCTTACATCCTTGGAACCCGGCATTTTGACAACTTCATACCAATCATTAGGAGTGGACCCCAATTCTAAGCAATCGGCGACCTAAGCAATAAAGAAGAAGAAATAAAGGAAGTCGTGTGCATGAGCTAAAGGATCAACTCGAAAATCCAAGAAGAGTATAACACTGACTGGTAGCAACTTGAAGCCCTTCGATTTCAGTTTGGGGATCACACCTGGTACCACCTGCACGAGGAGAAAGGGAAACACAAAGTCAATTTAGTTATAAGAGGGAGGAAATGGGATAGAAAGCATATTTACCTCATCAATCATAAACGGATGAGTCTCATGGCTAAGCACTATGGTTTTGTCCGAGTAAGTTTGATAAGTCTTAATCATTTCGTGTGGATTGGGGGGAGACGTTAAGCTGTCTTGTGAATCTTCCGACCACAGGATTAAGCCCTTGTATCCTCTTTTCTTCAAGACCTTGATCTGTAAAGAAGGGAACATTGTGGTTAATTTCTGTGATATGAGTTCGGCAGTCTGTGTAAATGAAGCTTGCACTAACCACATCGTCGTTATATTCGCCTGTGATTTTATTGAGTGAAAATTTTTGTAAGAAAAGCGCGAAGATATCTCAGTTTAATTCGTTTTGGGTGTCCGTCTAAAATAAGGATTGCACATACCGTAAGGAGGTCTGAAATAAAGCGGCTTGACTCCCAAAATCTTGATCATGGCCTGTTAATTCAACAAGAAACTATTAGCACCTTTGCACCATTGTCGAAATTGGAGGATGTTTTCGAGAGACTTACTCGTTCAATCAATTCAATTTGGTGATTGATTTGTTCGTAGGTACCTTCGGTCAAGTGAACATGAGACCAAGTATGGCTCCTGTGGTCCACGTGAAGAGTGATGATGATTAGATACTTGATTTTATTCGGAAAGAACCCGATGAATGAAAGACTTACCCAATCAGATGGCCTTTTTTGAATCGTTCTACCAACACCTCACTATGATCATAGATACAACCGAAGTTATTCCCGTTGATGAAAAACGTTCCCCTGAGGTTGGCTTTTTCCAAAGTTTTATCCAACTTGGCACTGTACTCCGTTGGTCCATCGTCGAATGCTAATCAAGAAGAAGTCGAGGTGAAACGTCAGTTGCTCTTTCCAAAGACCGAAAGAAAACAGTTGAGGAATTATGGTCGGGGGCTTACTAAGTGAGAAAGATTTAGATAATTTGCAAGTATTGTAAACCTTGAAGGCCGACTGGGCGTGGGCACCATGTTTTCCAACAGTGCGTGAATGATTTGTAGCTGGAACATGGTTATCGTCCGCCTGTCGTTGCTGCTGTTGGTTCTCTGGTTGGTTACCGTTGTGTGAAGGCAAGGTCACGACGGAATTGGTGAAGGCTGCTGCTGGTAGTAGTATCAATGCAGAAAGAAGTATCCACAAGTTCATTTTGGTGGTGGAAATCTTCCCTGTTGCTGAGTTTGGCATTTTAGTTATTTTGGTAAGACAGAAGTAGAGTAAAGTGAGAAGAGTAGTTGGTTGGGTGAGGATGTGTTTCTACGGTGATTGGGGGTGAGCTTATATACTCGTCAGGATGAGCCCTGACTTGGGGTATCAAGCCAGTATTTGAGAAGGCTGAAAAGGTGTGTTGATTATGAAGTTGGACTGATTCGCCATCTCAAGGTTGGATTATTCTAAAGTATCAATCAAAGCAAGTTTGGACTCGTTCGAACAAAATCCGTTTGTCCGTCTTTTTGACTGAACGCCCTCAGATGTACCTGTTTTGCCTCCTCGCCTTGCACTGCACGTCACAGCGCACAAGACCGCTAGAGATGTTTACAAGCATCTTTTGTTCGGGTCGCATGCAACCAGACTGGGTTGGACGTATTTACAGTGCCCGTTGCTTTCCGCTTCTAAAGCCGGCCTGGTCTGCCTGATCATGGGACAAATGCATCTGGATAGGGTTGTTCCGGCCCTCCACATCCGCCGTGCATGTAGCTCGAGGGGGTGTTTTAACATCAGGAATTTCAATGTGACCGGTTATGAAAGCACATATCCTCACTTTGTAACCCCTTTCCTCCTGGAAGAGTAGCATGGCATTTATTTACAACTGACCATCATCAGACAATGAGTCGATGCTAAACGTTCAAATCTTAAACAAATTGACTGAGTTGATCAAGTCAGCTCAACTTGGAGTAGACCTGCCCCGGCCTGAGTCACTAAATCGGGATCGTTTGTTCTTAACATATCTGAGATTCCTGAACAACTCTGTTTTTTGATGCCACCAAAGACTACTGGGAACGGAGTTCGTCATAGATGTTTTGAACATCGTACCACAACTATTTTACACTTGCACAAATTGATCGCCTCAAAACAAGTAATTATGAGCCACTCTTTCGAAAAAATGCGCATCCATTGTGCAACACCCAGTCAATTGATTAGAAGGGAGTTTTGAGTGAAACTAACTATCTCTTCATGGGTGATCAAATCGCGCCTAGAGTGCAACTCCTCCAACATCCGGATGGCAAGCTATGATTGAAAGAAATCATCCGATTTACTAACTTGCTATTTCATCGCAGGTGAGCGTGAGTTGGCTTCGGCACAGGTCGTTAAAGTCAGTTAGAATTTTGGAAAGGGTGATCACGCGTGCAGAAGAACCAGGTGTTTTGGGAATATCGCTTGAATGCTTGCAAAGGATCCAACTCATTTATGTAGGATGTGGTGTCTCGCGGGGTAATGAGATTGACAGACACGCCGAAATTTTCTCCTCGTTGCAGATGTGGACGATGGGGTTTGCTGAAATGTTCATCAACTGATTATCGGAGTCCCTTGGGAGACAACTGCACAAAAACCGCACAAAAACCTGGGTGTCCTCGATGAGGCATTAATACCAGGCCATGATTCAAGAATCAACATGAAATATAAGGCAAATGGGGATGTCTAAAATCACTTGCCTCTTCCACACGAGTTGGAGTAACCAATGTAGAGGCTAAGGTTTGAATTAATTGCTCATGTTGTATCAGTCTATTGACACTGGCAAACTCACAAAAGATACAAATATCTTACACGGAATTGACTGGTGTCCACAAGCTGGCACTCGGGCTCTCGTGATCCTCAAATGCACAGAAAGCCTGAGAAAGAGAACTGCAATAATGTTCACTATTTTATTCAGCTGATGTAAAGGCTGAGGAGAGAATGTCTTAGCCCTTTTCAAGAGTTCCTTTGTTTTTCTTTTCAGCTCTGAGTTTCTCTCCAGGCTTGTTGTTCCCTCATGCTTGTTAATTTCTGCCGTCAAAGTTTCATCACTAGCTAACCATTTATAATCCCCTTGAGTGGGGTATATCTTTTGTTCTCAACAAGGCCAAATTGGTTTACACTCTGGAAATGCTCTCAGAATTCTAAGAAAAGTATCATGCAGAATAATACCAGCATGGAGGAAAATATGGTCAAACTTTCAATTCATCACAAAAAGTGGCAATATCAAGGTTGGGGAGTAGCAGTCTCAAGTCCACTCAAGTTTCCCTTTATTGTTTTACACTTCCCAATTTTAATCTAAACCTCCCTCATTAAAACCTCATTCAAATTGTATTGATTTATTGATTGATGAAGTTAAGGTTTTAGGGAAGGTCTTTCATTTGTTAACAAAGCTTATGATTTTTAAGCAGCAGAATTATTGATATTAAGTTGGTTTTTTTTTTCATAAGAAATTGATGATTAAGAAGAGTCAAGATGGTGACTTTTGAAAACTTGTGCCACTACGTACTGCAACAAGAAAATAAAAATCTACCAAAAGATACACAGATCATAGTGAATTAGCAATAAAACTTATTGAAGTCCCCCCGCAATATCTTGTCCAGACCAAAAACTAGGAAAAATGATTCCCGCGGGGAAAGTGTGCAACATATGTGGGTGTATGCCTTTCCCCTTTGATTGTTTGCTCGACATATTATGGTGCGGCTGGACGAGGAGCTTGTGGGGTAGTAAGCCGTGGTTCTGGAATGTATTGTGTGGACTGGCCGTGGGTGGGGCATCTTCCAAGACTGACATGAACAAGGTTACAACATCCTACGCAGTAGTACCCTTGGACTGCAAACTTATGACGGCAGGTCAAATCATGACCGAAAGCATAACAAGGATAGGAACTATATCTGACAGTCTTGTACATGGTGTTCACAAAATCTGTTGGACTGCCGGCTGCCTGCCAACATCGCTCGCACCGGTCGGTATAACGGTATGGACCAGTTGGGGGTCCTTGAATCCCAGGGGCGACCAAGAAGGAAGTCAGGAGTAGGGAGAGCACCCAGGCAAATCGGGCCATGGTGCGCAGACTTGGTGTTTTGAGGAAGAGCAGACGGAGACTGTTGTTGCAGTGGTACCCAACAGGAATTGAACTCTGGCACAAACTTGTGAGGGATGGAATTTTCAACGCAGCAGCTCTTGAAGTAAGGCAAGATTATACCACTATGCTAGCAAGGCGCGTCTCTGAACAAGTGTTTGCAGATTTAAAAAGATGCTTTCTTTTTGGGACTGGCTAGACATGGCCAAGCATACACATACACTCAAATAAATGAAGATGATGAGAAAACCTGGGGCAGCCAGTGGATGATGTGGAAGGATGCATTAGAAAAGAAAAGAGACAAAAAGAAAACAAGAAAAGGAAACTCATACCTAGGGCAGCCAGTGAATGATGTGAAATGAAAAAGAAAGAGTCCTTCCACAAGGTTTGCTACACAACATGTAAAACTAGTGTAAAATGTGACATGAAGGAATGTAGCATACAAAACAAGGCTGTGAAACCCAACAGAAGAAAAAAAAAGTTCAACTGGATAATTGTTTACATAAATTAAAATGATTTCAGGGATTGATTAGCTTATAAGAGAGCCAAGCAACTTTTTACAGAATTTAGATCACAGTGAAAGTTTGAATTCTTGCTTTGCTTTAGTTATACATACATGTGACTGTATATGTATTGGTATGGAAACTATTAGGCAGATATAAAATAGTCATGGGAATCCATGCAAGCTTAACTTTGCAATCAATTTGACTTTTTCCCAAAATGTTTTGGAAACTTTCTAATCAAAATTTTGTTTCATTTATAATCATTCTTCCCATGTTCCATTCTTTCTTTCTCTCAGCACTCCACTCCCCCAAAATGAATATCAAAGCTTTTGAAAAAAATTGAGTTTATTTTTTATTTTTCACAAATTTTCAAACTTTTTTTTTTTGCTTTTATCATTTCATATTCATTTTTTGGGACCTATTATGCACCACCTGACCAATTCTCATGATTTGAAATTTGTGTTTCAGAGCTCTGGAATCCAAAATAAGCAGCCACTTTTCACTGTCTACCCACTGTACAGGAGTTGAAGTGGTGAGCCAAACAACTGAATGAGTGATTCTGATTGGTCAGGTTCTGATGTGTTTGCAAGTGAGTGTGGTGGTTTAAGCTGCAGCTGTCATGCAAGGAAAATACACTAATTTAGGCTGCAGGTATGATGTCATATGTAGAAGTGAAATGTAAGGAGTGTAGATGTATGTAAATTAGTGTATATGTAAATGGGGTTGTACTGTACTGAGGGTGTCTGTGTAGCTTGAGGGTTGTAATTGGGATGGGTGACATCCTTGTGATATGTTGTCCATTGTGGGGTAAGTGTTGATCCAGGTGTGTTCCAGTGACGCCTCCGTGGTGACCAAGGGTGATTTTATCCATAGAGTCCAGTTCTGTTCTTGAGCCGTATGGTGTGATTTCTGCAAGAGATTGGGTGATAATATGAAGAAAAAGAAAGAAAAAACCTTTGAATTTTCACATTTTTGACTACCACACCAGAAGGGAAGATGGCCGGCTGGAAGGGTTTCCTTCCAGCCGGCGCAAGTTACATGTACCTTGTTGACCGGAAGGGTTTCCTCAGTTGACGAGGTGCATGTACCTCGCCGGCCCTTTAAAGGGCGGGTATCCGAGGATACCCGCTCGGATACCCACTGCGGCCAACGGATACCTGCCAGCGGGTGCGGATGCAGATGGCTATTTTGCCGGAAAAAGCAGCCAGATATCCGCATCCGCGCGGATATCCGTTTGCGGAGCGACCATCTCTAATCTTTTTGAGAGACATACTTGTTGAATTAATTCGATTTGGCGAGTGATTTGTTTGTAGGTACCTTTGGTCAAATCAGCATGAGAACAAGTTCGGCTCCTGTGATCTAGTAAAAGAGAGATGATGATTAGATACATACTTGGTTTTATAAAAAAAAACCTGATGAATGAAGTGCTTACCCAATCAGATGCTGTTTTCTGAAGTGTTTTACCAACACTTCACTGTGATAATAGATACAACCAGTGTTATTCCCATCAATGAAAACCATCCCAATCAGGTTTGCCATTTCCCGAGTTTGATCTAACTTTGCATTGTGGTGTACTCTGTTGGGCTATCATCAACTGCTAATCAAGAAGAAGAAAAAGATGAAGCATCAGTTGATCTCTCTCTCTCAATAAAAAAAAGTAGGAATTATTCTCAGAGGCTTAAATAGTGAGAAAGATTTCTATCAAGTGTATGTACAAAGTGTTGTAGACCTTGAAGGCTGACTAAGTGCAGACAGCATGTTTTGCAAAAAATTCAGTGTATATTTGTAAACATTATTCATCAGCCTTTGATCCACCAATTCTGTATGATGTCTCCTTTCACCTACATAGCTTACTAAAGCCACCGCCACCCAAGTGTGAGAGGGGGGGGGGTTACACACAGGATACACTTAGATACAAATTGTTTCAGAGAAACTCAACCTGTAAGATCTGTTATCTTTTTCCACTTTTTTTCTCACATAGATGCATCAATGTTGTTTTGTTTGAGGCTCTCACATGAAGATGATGCATGTATTTTCCAATAAGGGATCTGTTTTGATGCAATCCAATTTTTGTAAATCCATTATAGGGTGAAGGAGGATGAAGTCTGTCGAAGGGAAGGGTGTTGAAGGGTTGGTCAGCTGGACATAAGAAGATGACAGGCCACGTGTGTATTTTGAATATGCAATATTCATTCCGCTGAAGCCTGAGTCTGTGAGCCGCCTGTATGCTATTTGCAGAACGGGCTTCTTACACATAATAATTTTTTTTTGAGTTGATGACCTGGATGAAAAAAAGCCTCCGGAAACTTCTCTCACCATAATCCAGAGCCAGATTGGAGCGTTGTTGTACAAGCTTAATTTATTGTACGTGTTCATTTGATTTACGTACTCGCATTACTCTTTGTTCGGACGCGTATTTCTTTGTCTCTTTTGCTCGGAGACTAAGGTAACTCGGCACTTGTTTAAGTATTGAAGCCGATCCTAAGCTCCTCAGCCTCGCTCCTCCTTCCCCCTTGATGGGCTGGAGTTATATTCGAACGCGAAGGTTCGGTCTCTGCATGCAATATTTGCAAATTGGCGGATTCATACTTTGTAGAGTGAGGATAAACTTCTCTCTTTCTTTTTATAATAACATCTCCCCTTCGACCTTGTCAACTTCAAGTCACCTTCGTGCTATTCATCCATTTTTCGAAAGAAAGAAACAATCACACTGGAATAGTTTGATTGAGACCACTTCTCCTGATTCTTACGGTTTCTTACCTTCTGCAAGTTCCTCGATCACGAGTAGGATGTCATCTTCATCGTTGTCGCCGTTAGCTTTGAAGGCAAGTCGCGGGCCGAAGAAGGAGTCGACCAGTCTTGTTTCATCTTGTTCTACTACTACTACCAAGTCGACCAAGACGAGCTCGACGAGTATTAAGGGAAAGAAGCAAAGGAAGAAGCAGAAGCAGAAGAGTGTTAGTGCAGGCGCCGACGATCAGGTCTATTGGGACCCTCCACAGCAATCGCAGATCGTCCGATCGATAGACCAACTCAGACTCCACTCGCCCACCCATCATGGCTCGACCGGTGCTCTCACCAAGACACGCGAATCTACCGACACTGCTGCCCACCCGGCTCATCCGCCGCTCCGAACGCCCTCTCGCACGGACGAGCCGCGTACCATCGCGTCCGTGATCCCGGAAACGGGCAAGACAAATTCAACCGAGCCTGATCCGCCGGCTGAGGGCCATCACGATGTGGCCAAGGAGGACGTTCGGAAGCGCAAGAGGACTAACAGTACGACTACGACGACTACTACTACTACTACCACTATGGATCAGGCCCGGTCTAGCCCATCATCCTCGTCCTCATCCCGACCACCATCTCGATCGGATCATCAACACACCCCTCCTTCGAAGAATACCCCGATCCTCTGCCAATGGAACCTTCGCGAGACCGGCCGCTTGATGAGCAAGTTCATGGCCCAGAAAAACGCGATCCCCGAACCCAAATATCTGGTCCCCGTACCCAAGAAACCTAGATCTAGATCTTCTCACCCTAAGAAATACTCCAAGAAAGCCTCGCTCGCGAATCGGTTCAGGCATCGTCTGCCGGCCGCCTCCTCTTCTAAACCTTCATCTAGTAAACCTGCTCGATCGTCCTAACTCATTCTCTTCTCTTGTCTCCTCACCCCCTATCGAGAGTACAACTTGAATTTTAAAAAAAAAATCTAGAAAGTTTGTAATAGCCCCTTCTAAAAAATCATTCGCACAAATTGAAAACCGAAAGATGGGCTCGTTTTAAGCGTGTTGTATACCCCTTGTAAACTTCTATACTTTGATGCCAAGATGATGATGATGTTTTTGTTGCTTTTTTTTCGCGGACTCGTTTTATTCCTGCTTGATTCTTCATTTTTTTATTATTATTATATTCTTGCTTACTTGATTTCAACTCTCCAATTCTTGTGCTCTGTTAACTTGTTCTTGAATCCCTTGAATCTTCCGCCCTTTTACCTCGATCTTTTTCCTTCTCTCACATGGACACAAACCCCAATAAAAAAAATCGGAAAAATGGACAAAAGAACAAAAAAAAAACAATGGTACTCGGACTTTGTTTGTTAAATTTGTTTTGTCTAGTGAGATTCTTGTTGCGATACTTATGTATAAGGATGATGATAATTTACTTAATAGTTCTTCGTGAAATTTCTATTGGACAAGCTTTGAGAACTCAGCTTTTGATTAGGTTTTTGTTTGTTTGTTTGCCGAGGGTGTTGAAGTCTTATTGATAGGCCAGTACATAGATTCGAATCAGTTCAATGAATTGATGTCAGTTAATGGAGTGTTTTACAGAAAGACTTATCATTGTGATTTTGGGGTTGCTCAGATACTTGACTGAGCAGGAGCTGAAGCAAAGAGATAAGGGAGAAAAAGACGCGATTATGTAGTCAAAGTACGTCAGGATGTCTAGTTGAGTGTACAATACAGATGGGTGAGTGTGGATGAGCTCGGCTACATAGTAGTAGTAGTGCTCTCAGCAAAAACATCCCACAGCAGACTGACTTCCTTCACAGCAATAACCAACTTGTACTACTCCCCAAATGACTAACCCATCTGCCTCCACCTCCTCATCAACCCACTCAACAACAACAACAACAGCCACCCATATCGTAAACGAGGACGACGGTGCAGGACTGGTCTACTGGGAAGACCATCAGCAACAGAACAAAAAACTGATCGAGCAAGTCAAATCACCAGAATCAAACTCAAACTCAAGCCAAACCAACAAACGGAACTCAACACTAGCAGGAATACCCTCCCCATCAAAACCCACTACTACCTCAGCCAGAACAGAACTACTCCAGCCCACTCACCAGAACAATCAGAAGGCACTCAGGCAAACCAAACGAAGGAAGAACAGAGCAGCCCTCACTCACTCAGATCATGAACCCCAAAAAATCACCAAACCATCCACCAAGCCACCCCTCCTTCCCAAACAGATGGCCTGGCAGGAACTCGCTTCCAGGCTCAAACGACGCGAACTTGACTCCATCTCAGAAACACCTCAGACCCGTAGCACAACCAATCAGTCTCTCTCAAAAATTGACAGTCTGCCGAAACGCGTCTTTCCCTCATCATCATCTCTAATTGCTCCAAATCTCGAAAATCGATCACATCAACCCACCCTGCCTCAAACTAGCTCCACCAAACCAGCTCTCAAATCTATCCTCCGTTCATCTAGTAATGCTACACACCAAAAAGCACCTCTCCAGAACAATCCTAACGTCAGTTTTTCTTCTTCTTCTTCCTTGACCCTAGTGACTCGATGAATATGTCGCGATTTGTGTTTATTGAAATGTTTTCTGGTTGGTTATCAAGCCCAAATCCACAGTGACTATCGTATCGAAGGACTCGCCATCTTGTCAGGACGATTCGAGTGGATTGACTAACCAGCCACAAATGCGGAATCAATCCACGAAGCCTTGTGAACCGACTCGCGAGGTCCCAGGATGTGTGTCGAAACAGAAGCCGTCTGTCCCAGCGGGGATCTCACCAAAGAAGAGCATCCCCGCTGATAGCAAGATGCATGCTGCCCAGTCCGGAGGAGGAGGATGTGAGCCATGGGAGCTCGAAGAAGACGACGACGAGTTTGGGAGCCAGTTGTTGGAGCTGGCCGATCTGGTCGAGAAGGAACAGAAGATGAGCCAGGAGATCGCGCTCCCTTCCGACAGGAATCGCGAGCGCTCGACCACCAGACTCTCCTCCTCCAAAACTTGCATTGCCCCCCACTCTAACACCACCACTCCGCCCTGGAAAACCGTCGACAACAGTAGGAAGAGAGCTCCCGCTTCGATCCGTGGGGCCGCTCTACCTCCTGCACCTACCACCAACATCAATCAACTTCTACCCCCCAAGAGTAACATCATCACCAATCAGCAGCAACAACAACAGAACGATCGGACAGTTAAACGAGCTCAGCCAGTGGTCCTGAAACAGAAGAGTCCGATCATCTACAAAACTGCGATGGTTTCCAAAGCGAGTATGCCGCCGACCAGTGTCCATCCGAACCCCGTCGAAGGCCGACGAAAGAATCTGGGCGTCGTCGGGACGCCGAAGCAAGTGGGCCCGAAACCGGCGGACCAAGGACTGTCTATCAACAACAACAGACCGTCGAGCCTCCACAACCCGGCCCAGAAACTCACCTACTCTGATGCGCTCATCCGCCCCCGTCGGCTGCAACTCCCCCTCGATCCCACCCACTCCGCCCTCCGCATCCGCCCGCTGCTTCATAATCCTTCCCCCCCTACTCTCATCCATCATCCTCTCCCTCCTCTTGCCAAAAAGTCTGCGGTCTCTTCTTCTTCCTCTCATGCCACTGCCACTGCTGTCGACAAGACTCTCGACTTGGAGTCTCTGTTTTGTGGGATTCAGGGCGATGATCTTGATTGGGACCCTAACGATCAATAATCCTCTTGTTCTTCTCTTTTGGTACTCTTACCCCTCTTTCTTTCTTTTCTTTCTTTCCTTTTGCTTGATTGTTAAGAGTTTGTTTTTTTCTGTCGTCTTGTAGGTTCGTCAGTCGGTTATATAGATTAGTTATCATTATCAGTAGTTGCTCTTACTCGAGTTTTGTTCTCCTTCTTGATATCGATGTTGTTTGCGTTCCATCTCATACTCCATTAATTTAGAACCATTCTTCATGCTTGATCAAGAACACCCAACCTGAAAAAAAAACCCCAAAAAAAGACGCTAATTCTTTCTTTCTCTCCTGCTCAATTTATGCTTATGTATATATATCAACCTCCACCTTGTAATTCTCTCTTCTGGATTGGTTTTTTTAGTTTGTGATCCATAACAAAGGAAATTGGGAAGAGGGGGTATGGGAGGGAGGGAGGGAGGGAGGGTGTCGGAGGTGGATGGTCATGATGCAAGGACAGCGATACTATTGGTGTCTGAAGATGATTCCCAACATCACTGGATTCGCGGGACAACAGGTGAATATCACGCGTAGTATTGGTGACCCACAACAGGTGAATATCACGCGTAGTATTGGTGACCCGGCGTTACAACGTATAGCTGCATCCCACTCGCAGGGCACTTGCTGCATTCCGAGTGAAGGGGCACATAAATATCTCTATGAAGTCTTTCTTTCCACCCATGCAAGTCGCAGTTGCACGTGTTTGGTCGTCGAATGACAGCTCAATCGCGTTGTAGAATTACTCTGGCCGGCCCTCAGGATTTGTATGCGCAATTCCTCTGATCAGAATGTAATCGGCCTGGCCATGAAAGGAAATTCCACTCCTCAAGATTACCACGATCTGGCCGTGACCTTCTGCACCCATCAACCCACTAGAATCCTATATCTCATTATTATTTAAGTTTCGCCTTTAGCTTGCAAAAAAAAAAAAATGAAAGTTTGTTTGAGATTTCAGCGAATTTTTTGTCTGGTCGTCCTGAGCCTCTTGAAGGCACACCAATCCATGATTGTACACCACGGTGATTTCCTCTGATCATTACAAGCGGTTTGAGTTTCGCAAACGATGTGCAAAGGATGAAGACTGATCCAAGTTTTCTTTGATTGCTATCTGATCACTCAAAACAATCCATAAATATCTAGTTCCGCGGTCCAACATGATAGCCAAAGAGATCAAAATGTATCCAGTGTTTAACACCAGGAGTGCAACTTCACTCTCAGGCAAGATGGGCTCAGTAAACACATCGTATGATGACAATCACTTTTTGCCCAGAAAGGTAGCCACTCTTCATGGTGAGCTAGGGCTCGAATTCTTGTCAGGCAGGACAAAGAGACTGACTCATCTTGTTTGTCTGATAAACAACGCTGTTCAAAAATGGTAATCATCTTACGGTAAGCTCAAATAAGTAAGATGGAGGATGATTTTTTGGTTCTAGGATTCAATTTCCATACTACAATTCATGAATCTAGCTTGGGTAACTATGATAGATTTGACCTCATAAGGAATGCCAAACTACAAAAACTTGCTGAAGAGTTGAAATCCACTCAAAGATTCATATCTTTTCAAACCCAAGGAATAATTCTTGAAATGAGACGTGTGATGAAGAGACTTGGAAATAATTATGAGGCCTGGAAAGAATACTCTGTGGATGAAGTTCTTCCGAGTTTCTCTGCAAAAGATCCAGCAAAGAAATCAGGAACAGTAGAATTGGATCACAATGTTATGCTCATGATTAATGAAGCCTTTGTGGAAAAAATGATCAAGAGTTTGAATGAAACGTTATGTGGACTCAACTTATTAAAAACTGAACCGATTCATGGCGAAAGAAATTATAAAGTAACAGAACTAACAAGTATTGTCTTCCATCAAATTGATTATATGCTCAAGTCTAACTTTATATCTGAACTCCATTTAAAGAAATTCTTGAAGATGGAGAATACACTCGAAGTTGCTGCACAAAACTTGATTGAAACATCAAAAATCAGATATAGATCTTGTCCTTACTATTCCATTTTTCCAAGCAGAAAGGTAATTCATAGGAACAGGCATTATGCTCATTTCAGGAGCTTTTTCAAAGGTAACATAAATATTTCCTTAACGATTTTTTTAACCATTACTGACTAATTAACCCAATTCTGGAAAAAAAAATGGCAGTCCTTGAGGACCATGATCAGAGATACTTTTGCTTTCTGATTATGAAAGGATTTCTGCAATGGCATATGGATGAAACTAAACATTTCAGAGAGTCATCATGGGCTGATGATTTACTCGACAACAAACTGTTTTACTTATTAGAAGACTGGCTGGCACAAAAGAACGAGCTGGAACCAACTAAATTCAACCATCATGATAGAAGTGAAATCAAACTGGAGCCCTTGTCCCAATTTTCTGAGCTGAAACACGTATTTGATTTGGGAGGTGGAGATATGTACAATAAAATTGTTGATCGGACAATCTGCTTCTTTGTCCTGGAATTCTATCAAGAAAACTATGGGACCAATTTCTTGAAAGACCAGTCTGACAATCAGATTCTATCATCAAGAGTGAGTCTTTCATTCCCCATCTTTGAGGCAATCGAAAAAGTCAAAAATCTGGAAATCGAAGTCAAAGAATCCATGAGCTCAAAATCTCTGGCAAGACATTATTGTGCGCTTTGCAAGAAACCTGAAAGAACTGCAGAATATTATCTCAATGAAGTCTCAAGGATCTACAGTGAATTTGATGATATCATGTCAAATATTTCTTACTTGCAGTATTTCCAAGCCCCAGAGATATATTATGTGATCCAGGAATTCAGGAAAACCAAAGAGTATATTAATGAGTTCCTTCACAAATCAAATTTCAAATGTGAACACCTGGAGAAAGTTCTAGTAGAGGAATGCAACTCAATCTCAGAAAGTCAGAATTCGGCCCCATTTATAAACAATATTTTGAAAATGTTTTGAAAATGTTTTGAAACGCTTTTGAAATGTTTTTTTTGAACTTAAAATAACGCTTTTTGTATTTCAAATACTTTTCAAAATGTTTTCAGAAGCTGGGAGTGGTTATAAACCCAGTCGTACAAGTGTGTTAATGAAAAAATTTGCATCGCTTGTATTGAGTCCACAAGCAGAGAGTCCACTCCTTGACAAGAGTCTGCATACACAATTATTCCGAAGCTCAACACCAAATGCTACCCGCCGATCACGACGACGATGAGTCTCTTCTCCAAGGAGTAGCTCTCTGGCACTTCCTCTTTGTTCAACGATCTCAAGAGCGCAATACGATTTATATTCGAGCGGGACGTGAGGTGTTCAAGCGTCCGGATCGCTGGGAACCATGGAAAGACGATCGAATACCTGCGGCCAGGTTTGTCGAGCTCTTCCGGATGTCTTTGGCCGACTTCAACTGGTTCTCGGACGAGCTTCGGGACGATCTACAGCAAGATCCACTTGGTCGCGGCGAACCTTTGACTGTGGAAGCCCAAGTCGCAGTTGGTCTTTACCGTCTGGGGCATGGAAGTACCTATGTAACGATTGGACATATATTCAATATCGGCAAAGAGACCGCTGACAAGGCATCGGGACGCTTCGTTAATGCTGTCCTCAAGGTCTTGAGGAAGCGAACTGTTGGGTAGGCATCCAAATTTTTATTCAGTCATGATATTGACTAACATTGCATCATTGTGTGATAGCTACCCACCAATGCACCGCACCGATCAATGGGAAGAGATCAAAGATTCCTTCGAACGACGGCGTGGAATCCCCTTGGTTGTAGGGGCTATTGACGGGACACATATCCCAATTGAAATCCCTCCCAACGATGACTGGAAGGGCTACATTAACCGGAAGAGCTGGGCTTCCATAAATTTCCAGTGTGTAGTAGATGGTGATGGTAACTTCCGTAATGTTGAGTTCTATTAGTATTATCTATTCTCAATTGGATCAAGCTGACATTTCTTGATCATCAGATAAGTGGAGGAGGACCTGGATCGATGCACGACAGTCGTGTATTCAGACGTTCTCGGATGGGCCAGGGCTTACTTCCTTCCTGCAGTGAGCCCTCGATGATACCGAACGGCACGTTTTTGATCGGCGATGCCGGTTACCCAGCCAACGTGAACATACTTGTTCCATATCCATCGATAGTCAAGCCAGAAAACGAATGGTTTAATTTCATACAATCCTCAACACGGATTGTGGTCGAGCAAGCCTTTGGCCGACTAAAGAACCGCTTCCGAATTCTTCTTCAGTCGCAGAACGCAAGGCCAATCCGTGCAAGGAATAACACGTTTGCGTGTATGATACTACATAACATCTTAAACCGTCATGGGGCACTGTACCTTCAAGATTGGGATGAACAAACAGCTCATGAGCAATTGTATGGAGAAATTCGGCAGAGCTTTGAAGCAGAGAACAACGAAGATCTCAATAATCAACCAGCGTCCACAACGATGTGGGCCCGACGAGATATAATTCGGGACTTCTTGTACGATCCCTGAAGTAGCTTTAAAAAACCTCTTACTTTGTTCTGAGATTTAGGTTGTAGTTAAATAATCACCTTGTGATGCTTGTTACTTATATTTCTTTTTTATTTCATTATACATAATGCGACAATGACTCAAATGCTTTGTAAAAGTATGATTGTTAGGAAACATGACATGCAAAAGTGAGATACATGATTTTTTGAGCAACCAAATGAAGACCGAGTTGATTTCAACTCAAGAGGTGTGTACATACCGATATGATTCATAAAAAACGCGACATGTAAAAAATAGATACATGATTTTTTAGCACTCAAGTGAGGACTGAGTGCAAGAGCAGAAAAAGAAGTTTGGAGAGCCGAAGAAGGAATGAGGAAAAAGGGAAGCTTTTGGGTGAGTCTGAGAAATCATAGAAGAACCGTTCATTGATTACTACCACCCATGTTACCCATCATCTTCAACATGGCCAACTGAAAGGCCTGCTGTTGTGCTGCTTGGCGTTCTTGGGAGACCTCCCAACGACGAGTGGCCTCTTGATTCTCCCGGTAACGAGCATCTTCACGAGCAGCTGCACGTTCTTCGGCGTCACGAGCTCGTATTTCTGTTGCTTCACGATCTAATCGTTCGCGAGTGGCTGTACGTTCATCAGCCTCGCGTGCTCGTTTTTCAGTCGCCTCACGGTCTGATCGTTCACGAGTGGCAGCACGTTCGTCAGCATCACGAGCTCGTATGTCGGCAGCCTCCCGATCTAATCGGTCACGACGGCCAGATTCCTCTCGGTCCCGTCTATCCATCTCCAGTCGGGCGTCCTCCCTGGCTGTCTTTTTGGCCTCGGTCTCGTTTTTGGCTTCTTCGATTCGTTTTCGTTTGACCTCACCATCAAGACGATCCTCTTTTCGTATCGCCTCAGCCAAACGCTTGTCCTCGATGCGAGTTTCCTCAGCTCGCTGCCTTTGGACTTCAGAGGCTAACTGACCTTTGTGCATGAGCAGCAACATGCCTGCTGCCGCAGGATCCTCTTTCTTGGGTGCTTCCTCGGTCCGGCCTCGACGACGAGGAGGTACTCCAGATTCCACCGGAGGGCGACCAGTGTTTGTCGTTGATTTAGCGGGAGCCTTCTGAGTCGTGGGTAAACCATGCGCAGGGGTAACTGGTTGTACCGCAGGAGTAACTGGTGCAGCGGCAGGATTTGCAGCCAAAGCCGAGGTAGATGCTGCTAAAACCGCAGGAGTTTGGGTAGCTGCAAGCATGATGTTGGTGGGCTCCTCGAGTGGTGGGGTAGATGCATCAAGGGCTAGTTCAGCTTCGGTTAACGGTGGCTCTCTGTGTCGACCTGTTTGATTGGCACCAATTGGGGTGATTCCAGAGACCTGGTGGTCTCCATCATCCGAGGAATCGTGGTTAAGTGGTGAAGCTGGAGTCGGATCAGCAGTATTTAAAAGCACTTCCATAGGTTCATCGAGCTCATTGTGTCCATGAGCAAGGGCGGCACGGTTTGTCTCATGCATGTCGAGGATCTGATTCCATAGCTATATGTAGGGACAAGATGATCTGTCAGCACAGATCTTACTAAAAAAAAGCAGAAGAATCACTCACCGACATCGGCAATGTATGTTCAACCAATGCTTCACATAAACCTCCACTGCCTGACCGGTCAAGTTGATCTTTAACTTTCTGTAGAAAAGGCTTCCCATCAGCAAATTGGAATCATGACATGAAGAGAAGAATAAACAGCTCACCCTCCAGGATCCCATAAGGGCTTGATATCGTGCAAGGAGTTTAACGGTTGTACTCCCTTGTAGTAGTGGGAATATATCAGTATCGATCGGGAACGCCAGAAAGAATTTTTGGAATGCGACGAATCCCGGGTCGTCCCGGTTCAACTCGCGGTGCTCATCCTTGACAAGGCGGACAAAATGAAGCAACTCGATTGATGCAGCTTCCGTCCACTTGACCCGAGGTACTTTTTTGGCTGAAGCTTGCTTCTTGAGAATCGCGTTGGCTTCCTTTTCAGCGGCTTTCTGGAGGGACGCGGCTGCCTTTGCAGAGGCTTTTTCCATCTTGTCGTGATGCTTTTTGGCGGCGATGTGATCGGCAACTGACATCTGACCAGGGTTCCTCTTCTTTCCGCGGGTGGCTGGCTTGGCTCGAGATGGAGCTCCTACAGTTGATGAAGTGATAGTCGAAGTGGATGGCAAGACAGAGGATGGTTCGGTGGTCGAAATAGATTGCAATAATAATGGATTTACCTCCATATCAGACTGCTGATTTCCATACTGCCCCGGAAAGGCCTCGGAATGATTGCCGAGTTGTGCTGGAAAGGTTTGCTGATAGTTTTGGAGTTGTCCAGGGAATGCTTCGAGGTTATTGCTGACTTGCCCCGTAAAATTTTGGCCTTGTTCAGTCAAATGCGCTCCGGTGTGTTGGGGAAATCCCGGTCTCGAGTTGTTCGCAGTTTGCTGGTAATGATTCCATCCGGGTTGATTATTGTTCCACCCTATCCCATCTGGATGGGAGTATTGCAATTGGTTATGACTGGGAGTTGGCCCAGATGTTCGGTTTTGGTAAGGGCCGGAGTAGTCGTCTTCATTGTTGGAGGTCGAGTGACCTTGGGTGAGGTTTGGATTGGGCAGTAACATTTTTGGGTGCTGTCTGAAGAAAAGATTGATGTAACAGTTAGCTTGGCACAGAACAGCACAACTCCGTGAGATAACCTTGCTACTAACCGGACAAAGTGATCAACACAGCTGAACACGGCACAGGCTTGTTCTCCAACTTGGTGAGGAGGAGAGGGTACAGCATGGTACCGGAAAAATCAGATCTTTAGTACTACAGCTGCGTGGCACAGTTAGGTTTAGATCTATGATGACGACAGGGTCACATGAGATCACATGTGTATGTATACTTGAGAAACGATGTGTACAGTCAATGCGCACCGGTTTTCAACCGTTCTCTTTCAAAACTTGTGTTATCAAAGAAATAATTTTTTTGATTGCTCGAAAGTCCTCCGTGAGGACTTTTGAAGCGCTTTTGAAGCAAAAAAAAGTTCAAAATCAAAGCCAACTTTGAACTTCAAAATTCTTTCAAAAGTTTTTCAAAATAATTTCAAAATACTGTTTATAAGTGGGGCCTTCATCCTTTTCACTGATCATTTCTTACTGGAATAAATTGAGAAATTTGATATTCTGATGGCTTCTCAATAGTTGTATGATTCAGTACTTCACAAAGATTAGAATAGATAAATCCATGCTTTTCTCCATTCCATCTTATTTCATACTTCCCAAGTTCAAAATTGAATCACACCTGTTTCTCGTTCTTTTTTTTTGGAATCTCCTTGCTTGTCCTCATGCATTGCCATGGGTTATCTATGCAGTCATTTGTTTTTCATCATTTCTTTGCTCCATATAATTCGTAAAATTAAAACACAAACTCTCATCTTATAATTTCCATTTTCTAATCTTCAAAGCATTTATGGCAGATAGAGGCCCGGAGGGGAATGAGTCCTAGCCTAACCCTGTCTCAATCATACATCCTCCTTTGGAGAAGCCATTCCTGGTCTTCTTGAAAACTATTTCATTATAATTCTAAAACTAACATGGGGGTTGATTCGCCCCACCTTCTTAGCAACACTGCCATGCCGCCGAGATGGTCCTCCTTGGTGGTCCCGGTGGCCAAGGAAGATCCTTCATCGGTCACCCGGTTTCCAAGGGAGAATCCTCCATGGTGAACCGGTACAAGGTGTACCGGCTGCCAAGCAGCATGGCGGTGATGCCAAAAAGACCCACCAATCACACAAACGACTCCGTTTGGGGGGTCGACCAACGCAGGACATCGACCCAGGGTAGTGTCCGCGCCACCCGATGGTTGATTTGGGGCTCATTGGTGTAAATTGAGGGCCCCTTTTAATGCTCTAATGATAGTGTGTTGCCTCTTTCTCTGTGCATGCGCACTTATGTTATATCTGCTATCTGCTTAAACCTGTTTTTCTAGTCCTCATAGAGACTCGACCAAGACAACAATCATCACAGGAAAAATATACCGAAGGGTGTGGACACCCTTGTGTGTCTAATCCAACTTGTCCCACCTTGTTATCGGAGGGGGGCTTTCCCCGCAGAGTCCGTCTAAGTTACATGGCCTTTCGATCAACTCCGTGAGACTAATTAATTGTTCGTTCCCGTAGTGATCGTCAGACGTATGTATAATGCGTACAGTCCCTCACAGGCGCGTCTTCATGGTTTCATAGAAGATGACTCCGTAGTATCGAGCTTCAAGAGACTCCTAATCCTTTATCCCTCATGCTAAGGTCTCTCGGAGCCTGACGTATGGCCCTCGCAGAGTCAAGCAGAACTTTCTCCAGACACGCTTTCGTGGACTGGATGTATTATTGGCGGTCTCGCAGTCGGACACATGTGATGGTAGGGTAAAACAAGCATCCCTGGCTCGAGGACTTGTGATAGGTTTCCACCAAACCTGGGTTTGCTCATATTGCTATGCTTTCCTAATAGCACTTGGAGCAGCAGAAGTCTTTCCAAGGTTTGATGTCCTGATTTTTCCTCGCATTACTTGTCACCTTTGGTTTTCACACAAACTATCTGGCATCCGGTGTCACAAATCAAGAAAGCGGTACATACTCGATCAGTTTTGCAAACCTGGGAAGATGAATATTTGTGTATTCATAGGAGTTCCCTACTACGTTCTTGGCTGGCAGAGCCTTGCTGCAAGTGAGGGGAAAAAGGACCACATACAAATGAGAAATGGTGTCGATTCCAAGGCGCAGCTCCAATTTGTCAGTTTGTCAAATGTCAGCTCAATCACTCTGTTTCCATCAAAGGACAGCTCAATCTAGATACAACTACTCTTGCCGGCCCTCATAATTTGTATGCGCGATTCCTCTGGCCTGCCTTGTCAAAGGGAACTAGTTATCTGAGAAGAAAGTTCCCCTCACTATGTAAGAGAGCGATCTTTCCTCTTCGACCCACGATTCTACTTCAGTTTTTCCAGTCATATTATCGATCAATTTTACTATTCCGGAGATCATGAAGGTTTATTTGAGGTTTCAGCGAATAGCTCTCTTGGTCTTGAGCCTCTTGAGAGCACAACAAGGCACGGCTGCACGCGGTAAATTTCACAGAGCGCTACCTATTTTGCAACAACCGATTCAGAGTAAAAAAACTAATTTTCATTTTCCTTGATTGCAATCCACTACAAATAAATCATAGTCCCCAGGGTTGAAATGACGGCCAAAGACATTATAACGGATCCTGCGATCACCACAAGGAGTGAAACATTGCTTCCAAGCGAGCTGGGTTCATTAATCACATTGTCGGAGAGCGATAGAGATTTGAGCAAAAAGATAGCTACTCTTCAGGGTGAGCTAACATTTATATTCATGGTAGGGAAAACAAAGCAGACTGACGAATTCTGTTCAAAAATGCCTATCGCATTACTTGAAGTTCAAAAAAATCAGATGGAGAAGGATTTCACGGTTCTCAAGTTCAATTTACAGATGATAATCCATAAATCTGGTTCAGGTAATCTTGATCAATTTGATCAAGAAAGGAATGCTATATTAAAACAGCATGCAGAACAGTTGGTATCTGTTCAGAGATTCATAGCATTTCAAACACAAGCAATAATTTTTGAATTGAAAAGTGCCATGAAGAAAATCAGAACTCATGATATCTTTGAAGAATACTTTGTGAATGACCACCAAGTTCTTCCTACTTTCTTAGCAAAATCCAGAACAAAAACATCAGGAATGGTTGAGTTGAATCAACATGTGATGCTCATGATTGATAAAGTGTTTTTGGAAGATATGATTGAAAATTGGAATAAAATTTTACATAAACTCAATTCATTAAAAAATGGATCTCCTTATCTTGAGAGAAACGGTGCAGTAACAGAACTACAAAGCATTGTTTTCCAGCAAATTCATTACATGTACAAGTATAAATTCATATCTGAATTTCATTTCAGGAAGTTTTTAAAGATGGAAAATACAATAGAACTTGCTGCAACGAACTTGATTGAAACATCAAAAATGAAGTATAGGAACTGTGCTCACCATTCTATTTTCCCCAGCAGAAAGGTAATTCATAGGAACATGCATTATGCTCATTTTAGGGGTTTTTTTAAAGGTGATATCAAGTTTTCATTTATGATCAGTACTTCAATCTTAACCTGATGTGATGAATTTTACTGATCAAAACTCCTTTATACATAAATTCTTTTGGCAGTCCTTGAGGACCACGATCAGCGATACTTTTGCTTTTTGGCTATCAAAGAGTTTTTGGAATATCACATGGTCGAGACTCAACATTTTAAAGAATCATCATGGCCTGATGATTTGCTCCAAAACAAACTATTCCCACTATTAGAAGATTGGCTTGAAAAAACAAGGAAGTCTCTGAGTAAACACAAGAATGGGGATGAGATTCAAACTCGTTTTGAGCCATTGCCTCAATTTTATGCACTTAAAGAAGTGTTTAATGTGGAAAATGCAGATACATTTGAGAAAATGACAATTGATAGAATAATATCCTTTTTTGTTGTAGAGTTTCATGAAGAAAATTATGGGAATTATTTTTCAAAAGAAGAAATAGAAAATCAAAAACTACCATCAAAATTGAGTGTGATATCTTCCATTTTTGAGTCAATGGAAGAAGTGAAAAACATAAGAATCAAAGTCAAGGAATCAATTAGTTCCAAAGCTCTTGGAAGCAACTTTTGTTTCATCTGCAAGGAGCCACACAGAACTGTAGAACATTATGGCAAAGAAATTTCAAGGATATACAGAAAATTTGTGAATAATATGTCAAAAATCAATCAATTCTCTCATCAAGAAAATCCAGAAATTTATTTCTTGGGTCAGGTATTCAGTGAAACCAAAGAGTCCATCAGGAACTTTGTTGAAAATTCAAATTTGAAGTGTGAACACCAGGAGAAAGGCTTAGTCAAGGGATGCAATCTGACAAGGGAAAGTAATATATCTCCCTTTTCAGTGATAAACTTTGATTGGAATAAATTGAGAAGATTCTTCTTCTAATGGCTTTCCATTTTTTTTTCTTTAGAAAAAGAGAAGTAGAAAAAAGAAGTAGAGACTGTCATTCCAAATTTCCTTTTTGATTTATTTTACTTATTTCCATTTTTACCTCCATAAGTGATCATGTTAGTAAATGCTTTGATGATTTCTTGCTCCACAAAAGTAAAAAAAAAAAAAAAAAAAAAAAAAACAGAAAATCAGTGGTCCTTCACATCAGCTTCTCTTGTTCCTCAATAGAGTCTCAAGCAGCTTTGTTTCCATACTCCAACATCCAAATGTTAGATTTACTTTCCACCACTACTATGTTGTGTTAAGAGCATCCTTATCGGTTGGGCTAACTCAGCCCGCGGCTAAAGTCCAAGTTAAATCAAGTTAACTTAGCGGGGGTGTTTCAGCCGCACTGGTATTGGCTACCAGCAGCTCAAACTAGATAGCTCACAAGCAAACCATGACCAACCGCATCGGGAACAAACGACGACGGCTCCTCGAGGACCTGTTTGGATCGGAAATGGAGGATGAAGAAGAAGACGAGGAAGAAGACGAGGAAGATGGATTTACCTCTTTGGAAGAACTCACCAACGATGAACCGCATGCCAAGACGCGAGGTCCACGACGCCCAAATAAAGAAAGAAACCATGCCGAAGGACACGAGAGACTCATGCAAGACTATTTCAACAGTGGTTCAACATACAATGACCGTGATTTTGAAAGGCGATTTCGACTCAGGAAAGAACTGTTCCTGAGGATCGCTGCAGATGTGGTGGAAGCCTCTCCCTACTTTGTTCAAAAGCCTGTATGTTTCCTTTCCTTTTTTCTTTGCTATTAATCTAAAAAAAAACTTATTGAAAATGGTGAAACAGGATTGTACAGGCAAGATGGGGTTGTCAAGTTTTCAGAAGATCACCTGCGCTCTTCGACAATTAGCCTACGGATGTGCAATGGATGCGACCGATGAATATTGTAGGATTGGGGAAGCCACTGCTCGGCAAACCCTCAAGATATTTTGCAACACAATCGAGAATCTGTACGCCAAGGAGTATCTACGGAAGCCAACCGCAGACGATTTGACACGAATGCTTGACATCAACGATGCCCGTGGCTTTCCAGGCTGCATTGGCAGCCTTGACTGCATGCACTGGGTATGGAAAAACTGTCCCAGTGCATTCGCTGGCCAGTACAAGGGCAAAGAAAAGAAACCGACGGTGGTTCTGGAAGCTGTTGCCGATCAACGACTGTGGATCTGGCATGTATTTTTTGGAACGGCCGGGGCTCTTAACGACATTAATATATTGGATCGATCACCTCTATTTGAGGAACAACTTGCTGGTACTAGTTGGGACGTGGAATTCCAGATCCTCGGTCGTAAATACAACCATGCATATTATCTCGTCGATGGAATTTATCCATCCTGGTCAACCCTGATCAAATCAAAAGGTGTGTCTCAAGATGAGCCATCAAAACACTTTCAAAAGCTTCAAGAAGCATTCCGAAAAGATATTGAGAGGGCGTTTGGGGTTCTTCAAATACGATGGGCTATTGTCACCATTCCGGCTCGGTTCTGGAGCCCTGAAGATATGGTGTCAATCATGCGAACTTGTGTGATTCTACACAACATGATTGTAGAGGATCATGAGAGGGATTCAACCGACACATTTTGGTTACCTCGCTGCACAAAACTAGTCCCACCTCAAAGTCAGCCTTACACCTTACAGGAGCAAGCGATTCGGACGGTTGAGCTCCGATCAGCAGTACAACATCGAAGGCTTATCAACGACTTGATTGATCTCAATTGGGCACGACTAGGCTCCAGGAACAGGAGTACCGAGTGAATTTGCTATTGCTCTTC